TCAGAATTACCAATCACGGCACGAGCCTTGTCGGCATCAAAGTGCTTTGGCAATCTGACCTCGGTTCAGACGGTTCGTGACGTGGTTTGCCCAGGCTTCGTCCGCCAGGTCCGGGTCGCGGACGAGCGACCTGAGGCTCTGGTCGACTGCGTCGTTCGGGTGGGCGCCCGCGCCGGCGTTCAGCTGTCCTCGACGGCTCTGCTTGCGTGCGACTGCCTTGCGCATGGCGTCCACGACCCGACCTAGTTGCCCCGTCACAAGCCAACGGAGACGATCGTGAAACATATTGCGCAGGTCAATCGTAGACAGTGCGGTCGAGGGAGCAGACAACAACATGCTAGGCAAGGCCAAAATCAAAGCCCAGCACATCTCTCGCTCTTCAGCGGTATAGTCCGAGTGGACGGCAGACCAATACAGCTGGCTCAGGGTGGCAGCCATCAGCTTGGTCTCGGTGGCGTTGGATGGGTAGCGGCTGCGCTGCATCAGTGGATGCCGGGCGAGCTTAAGCAGCTCGCAGACGCTGACGCGAGACCCTACACACTGTTGGGGCCAAGCGCCACGCATAATCTCAAGCAGGTCGTGTCCAGCCGCATGAAACAACGCCTCGCTCGCTCGCTTCAGATTGGCACCACATCGGGAGCGGTGTTGACTGATACCAGCAGCTTCGAAGAAGAGGTGACACTTGTTGCACTGGGCGACCAATTTGGCCTCCATCACCTGCTTGACCAGATCAGTGGCTTGCTCGTCGTAGGGGTGCTCGCGTAGAACATGATTGACCCAGGCTTTGCGGTCAAGGCGGGGCCCCTTGCATTTGCAAAGCCCAAATGGGCAGGCGAGGAGTTGCCTGTGGCCAGATGTCTTTAGCAGGACCTTGCGCTGGGCATCCAGCACGTTGGCAGCGATGGGCGGAGCGGGATCGCTGAGAAGAACATCTTGCTCACTCACACTTAGACCTACTAGGCCTGATTCCTGTTAGCGTCAAATCCGTGCTTCCACGCATTTGAGCACCCCCACTGCTTTTGCACACACTCAGCATCGGTCGCTATGGGTCTTCCTATTGGTATCCCATAGCTGCGACGACCTCACACTGACACCTACACTTGGACCCCCTGGGCCTGATCCTCCTCGTGGGAGTCACATGAGTAAACACCGCGTGTGACGCGGTCCCCACGATGCCTGGGCAGCTGCCCTGGGGCAATAAGCTTGTGACTACTGTTGTTTCCCTTTGTTGTGGCACCTGCGGTCGGGCACGAGTTGCACTTTCCCTATCCTCGGGATTGAGCGACTCTACAGCTATTCTAACGGTGCACCTGGTCTGGTCACTGTGAATGCTTGCCGACCGCAGGTACGTCAAGCCCCCTGCCATTCTGTCTTCCCCTTGCTCTCCTGTGTGCTCTGCTCTCTTGTGAACTTTCCCTATCCTCGGGATTGAGCGACTCTACAGCTATTCTAACGGTGCACCTGGTCTGGTCACTGTGAATGCTTGCCGACCGCAGCTGGTTCAATTGACCTCAAGACACCATCAAAGCTTTCGCTCCGTCCCGACGAACGTCTCTCAAACCTCTCTCAAAACGCTTCCTCAAACTTACGCGCTTCCTCGCAACCCAAAGACGGCCTCCAGTCGTGCTGGAGCCTGACAGATTCCTCTTTCTTCACCTGATGCATAATCTTGTGTTGATTCAAGACGGCACGGCTTGCCTAACATGACGGCACTGCGTTTCGGTGTCCAAGCGCCCCAACTCTTAATAAATACCTCACAGGTAGTTGGCTTGAGCACACGTGCGGCCCGAGACCTGATGACCTGTTAGGGTCTTGATTGATTGAGGCTGGTCAAAGAGATGAAATTCAATCAATTCTTTGATCGACACGGCATGTCCTGCAACTCACTTCTTTTTGGATGATATCTTTGTGTACATCTGTACGCTCTCGCATCGATACTACTCATTTGTTCCTGAGAAGCACAGCCTGCTGTATGGTCATTTGCAACTGCTGCATGGTCTGCTGCATGGTCTGCTGAAAGGTCTGCTGCATGATCTGCTGCTGCTGCATGGCCTGCTGAAAGGCCTGTTGCATGGTCTGTTGCATCGTCTGTTGCACGGTCTGTTGCATGGTCTGCTGAAAGGCCTTTTGCGTGGTCTGTTGCATCTTTTTCATAGCATCAAATAACTCACGCAACTCGGCACTGCGTTTTTGGGCCTCCGCCTGACGCTTTAGATCCTCGGCTTGGCGACGAAGATCCTGTTCTCGAAGCGTCATAGCAGCTTCTCGACGGCGCTCTTCATCTGCCTTGCGACGATCTGCTTCCTCCACTCGGCGCACACTCTCAATCGATGCCAAGATAGCTTTCCGAAAGGAATCATCATCATCTTGGTCTTCAGAGTCCTCAAAAAAACCTGAGGAACAATCATCATAAGAAAATAGGCGCGGCGAATATAGAAAGCAGCTTTTTGCCCTCGATGACATACTCGAGCGTCGCTTCGCACGAGAACGACGGCGCTCTCGAGCACCAGGTTGTAAAGGAGAGGCATTCATGGGGACAGTGACCTCGTCTTCTTCATCGGAGAGATCCTCTCGCTCGAAGAAGGCGAGGGCTGAAGCAGAGATAGGCTTTGCCGCAACCAGTCCTTGAGCGACGCAGGCCCGGTACGCCTTTAGCTCACGAACAGTCACGCCGAAGTCAACGGCTGTTCGCATGCGTCGCATTTGTTCCCATGACTTGATATCGTCGGCGAGCTAACGCAACTCAAATGAGAAATGCGACGCGTACGGGCATACCGTAGAGTATCACACACAGCACGCCAGCACGCAAACCTCACCTTTGTCCAAATGAGAGCCGGCCGATGGCCCGATGTGCCATTCTCCTCTGGTTCACAAATAACTGGATTATCTTCGTCAAACCAATCAAGCAGTGCCGCAAGAGTTCGGTAGATCATGGTCAGCACGCGGTTTTGTGTGGCGCCTTTTCGTGGCATAATCGAGGACACCGAAGGAAGATGGCGCCTTTGCCGCAAATGCGCATATGTAGTGGTGATCATCATCTCGGCATAGTACAGAAGCTCAGATGCTTCATTATCTGACTGCCCCTCAGGTCCAGGCGTAGGTGGCGGTCCGAGGACATGACCTTCTTGACCAGCGTATTGAGCGCGAAGAGACGCTAAACACGGGCGCAAACTGGTCGATGCGACTCATCGTGAGAATTTCAGAAGAACAAGAACGAGTAGAGAGGCCAAACATTCTCTTACTTTGCAGCAAGGCGCGTCAAGAAAGCCCAGGTTTGAAGGTAGCGCTGAGCAATAATGACCTCGCCATTATTATCTGATTTGTCTCTGGTTGGCACTTTGCAAACCAGCCCTGTGATGTTTCTCTGTAGTGCTCGGCCGTCAGGTGGATAGCGCGTTCGACAGAGCGCAAAAATACTATCCTCATCCGGGCTGTCCACCATCGGGCAATACGAGACCGCTTGTAAGTCAAGCCAACGGAGACACACATCCCCTATTAGGAAAAATAGACCCGATAAGACTAACCTTAGCGAAAAACGCTCCAGTTGATCCGCAGTGGTTGGATCTAGTCCTCGAAAACGGCTATCGCCTGGCCCCAAAGGAATAGAGGTGCGAAGTTTTTTGCCGCTATCTGTTCGAACGGCCCACATTGCCAGCTTGAACTCTCTTGCAGCCCTGGAAATATGATAGACAGCAGAGATGAACGCACTCTCCCGTCGAGGCCCTGCATTCCATGCAGTATCGGGAATGCAGGCCTTGTCAGGGAACGGAAACATTGGAAAGCTTTCCTTGACACCGAGCAATAAGCGCGTGAGGGAGCGGATCACAGCAAAAGTCCAACCACTTTGGCCAACGCAGGCAAACCTACGTCATCGTCCTCATCATTCCCTTCCATAGGCGGCACAGCCATCCGTTGCAAATCACTGGCACCCTGGAGGTGCGGATGCGATGCTGCCATGATCGCGGTTCACAAAATGAACGATGCCACCCTTGCAACGGTCACTTTACAACGCCAAATCCAAACAGATATTTTGAACTAATGTCTGCGGTATGACAAAACACATGTTCTGATTGGAAGTTGACGGAATCGAAAATAAACTTCTTGACTCGGAAATAAAATTTCAAAACCAGATCTGATGATTGCCTTGTTTGAGAGTGAGCATCAGATTCTGTGTTTTTTTTTTTGTCGGGTGGTTGCAGCACAAGTTTTTCAGAGCGGTCATGACCACAAGGATGGCTCCCTTGGCTCGCATCGTGACATACAATGTGCTGACGCCTCGTTATTGCAATGCCCAGTACGTGAGATGCAGGCTTTTTTTCGCAGGAGAGCATAGAGTTGTGTGACCGTCAGCTTTGATTCACGCTGTGCCATCGTCGTAGAGCCTTCCCTGCTTGTGATCCTGCCGTTCTGGAGCCACGCGCTCGCTTGGATGTTCGTGGTGCATCGGGTACCCTCATCTCAGCAGCGAGGCCGGGCTGCTTATGCTCGTTTATGTCTCTTGCCTGATTTGCTTTGTGCTTGCTGTGTCTCGATTATAGAGCATCCTTCAGCAGCTCCAGCCGTTCGTGGCTGACAAGTCCATCATTTGCCTTCAGGTGCAAAAACACCCTTGTAGCATCTCTCTTTTGCAACCTGTCGTATCAGCACAGTGGCATCTGATCGTATGATGCGTTGTGGTTTGGAGCACAGGAGGTCGGGGACGATTGGTTTGGCGCAATGCATGCCTTCTTTGCTCAGGTGTGCTTGTGCTGCTAAACCCGGATGAGTCAGCCCTGTGCTATTTCTCGAGCGTGCACCGCGCAACCTCACACAGGCTCGAACATGATCCGACTAGAATGGCTATTCACTTGCCCTGTACAACTACAAGCCCGTGATGGGTGTGGGCATTGCATGGCCACATGAGGTAGGGGTTCTCTTCCCAGCATTTTTACTTGTCCTTGAAATGGTTCCCCGTGCCTTGAGTTTTGTCTGTTTGTGAAGCATCTGGCTGCCTGGTCCCTTCAATGTTCGAAGGGCTCGATTCTGCTTTTTTTTTTGTTGTTGTTTTCTTTGCCTTGGCTCAGCAGGCATGATTTGGTAGACGTTTGCCATGAGTGACATGCAGTGCCTGCGTGTGGGTGAATACCTTGCTCCACGAGCACCGGAACCGGAAGAGCGTGAGGCCCTGGCACGCGCAGTACAAGAGGCACGCCGTGGACAGCAAAAGGTATGTGGCTGGTTTTTGAAGGCCATCGTGCTTTGGGTGCCCATTCTTCTTCGTTACGCAGATTATCGATTTGTAGGCGATTGGTGCTGATGGGGTTGATTGCTAATCCACAACACCTGCTCAATCTAGGAGCGCGAAGCAGCAGAGCAAGCGAAAGTGGCTCAGAAGGACGAAAGTCTGCTTGGTGGTATGCTATCTATGATTCTTCTTGTGTTGATCTCTGGTGCCATGCCAACGACTCGAAATGCTCGCCTCAATGATTCGTAGGACTATTCTCGCTCTTTGGCGCGGGCCAGGTAAGTGCTTTCGCTCCAGCTGCGTTTGCCAAACGTATATGGTCTGGCTTCACTCATTTTGCATTGATATGAACTTATGACAGGAGCAGTCTGAAGCCGTGTCAGCAAGCAAGGCTTCTAGCATGGATCCTGAAGCGGTGCCGGCTGAAGGACTCAGCACGCTCGCAGATGTTGATGACTCTGAGAGCATGTCACTTGACGTGGAATACGAGCAGTTGATCACAGCGGCGCAGCGCAAAAACTGTCTGATCCTGGGCCGCTTTACCGTTGCAGCTGACCCTGGTGCGCAAACTGAGCTGCAATCTCTGGGCAGAGTTTGTGAAGCTGGGTGCACTGTGGTTGTAGACCTGCCATGTGCCAGCTTTTTACGTGCGTGGCTTTGCTTTGGTGGCGTTTAGATCAAGAACTGGTTGTTGCGACGTATCATATGCCCTGCGCTTTTCGTTATCCCAAGGTTGGCTTTTGCTGCATGTGGATGTAACTGGCACAGCACTTGGGGAAGTAGGAGGGCTGTGCCGAGCGCCACAATCATGCGATCCTGTGCTTGGGCTGGCCCATTGGGTAGATCATGGGCGCGCACGCCGCAACAGTGGGTCAGCTGGTCCAAAAGTGGGCCCAAGATGTGCCATATGTCTTGGCAGGTGATTTCAACTTCCAGCCCGACTCGGACTGCTATCATCTTCTGACAACAGGTTTGTGCTACTTGTGTTTTCTCTGTCGAGTTTGCGGTGTTTGGCTCACTCTGATGTGCCCAGGCTCACTTGCCAAAAGCAGTCCATCTTGCCCTGCCCTGCTTCAAGCCTCATGGAAAGCTCAGTTGCAAGAGCCCTTCCAAAGCGCGCTTCGGCAAGTTTGGATCAGATCAATGGCAGCCCGTGGCATGCCTGAAAGCAATTGAAATACGCGCGCCCGCTTGAAGCACCTGCCGATCTAGCAACTCACGAGCCTTTGTTTTCTCTGCTCACCAACAATGCTCAACAGATTGGTGCATGGCAAAGAGCCGGATCACACCAACATGGCCACAACACCCGACAACAAGTTTTGCGGCACACTGGATTACATCTTTCTTGCGCCCAAGCTGGGCGCATCGGCGGCAAGTGTGATACCCCATCGCGAGAACGTCCAGGATGGACCTTACCCGAATGCGCGCGAGCCCTCGGATCATCTTCTAATCTGGGCCGATGTGCATGTTGCAAATTGACACACGTGTATCACGATGCTGATGCAAGCCGAGTTGAGCACTGAAGTGTTGGTAATGAATTTGACTGGTCTCCGTGCCATCATTGGTCAAAATTTCTCGTCTTCATTCACCGATTTAACGTCCAAAACTCATATCCCGTGATGTGTCAAGACGTTGCGCACCTGAGTGAGAGCATTTTATCGCAAGAGCAGGGCTCAAGCTTGGATAGCAGGCAGATTGGCAAGCGCTGGCAAAATTTCTTTGTAAATGGCAATGCCGCGAATGTAGACGTCCTCATGTAGACGCTCGTTGTGATCATGAAGCAGTACAGGCGTGTTGTTCATGGGAGAGAACCCAATCGCCGGGATATTGGCACAGCGAAGGTAGCGGCTAGGCACAGCAACGATTAGCGCATGTTTCACGCCGATGAGGTGATGTGGCGGTAGAACGACCCCGTCAAAGAGCTCTATACACGCACCTGTCAGTGGCAGCTGGAAAGATCTGAGGCTCAATGTCGATGTTGCTGCAATAACGACGATGTCAGCGTGAGAGCCACAAAACATGCGGGGCAGCTTAACCTCGTGCGCGTGCGGTACTTCTGCCCAAACAAAAAAAAAAAAAAAAAAAAAAAAAAAACCTAAGCTTACCAACGGCCACATGCGGCAGCAAACGCAGACCAATACAAGTTCTTGTCGGAAATGTCGGTGACGGGGTTGTTCCAATAGACCTGTTTGAAGGTGTAACTGATACCTTCTCCAGCCATCCATTCGTCCAAGGTGGCCTTGAGCTCTTGCAGATTCACGGTGGGCGGAATGCGCATATCAAAGCCTGTTACAGTGAGAAAAGAGGGTCAAGGGCTGAGTGGTTTAACACTGGCAGGCTCTACGAGAAGCGAGTCTGCACGCTGCAGTCTTACCAGCACCGGCCTCAGCTGGAATAACGTTGTATTGCACGCCACCATTGAGCATGGTGAGATTGACCGTCGTGACATCACCCAGCGTCTTTGTGGGATCGTTGAGCAAGATGGCTTCTTGCTCGCCACGAAACTTGAGGAATTTGTTGATCACACCCACCTACACGGTTTGGCGCAAGCCCATGACATTATGGGAAGAAAGAGGCTTGACGGGTGTTTGCAAAAGTGAGTTCGAAGTGCTTACCAGGCGCTCCATCGCTGTCTTGGGCAAGAAGCGAGAGCCATGACCCGGCTGCCCAGTACATTTGACCGTGACCCACCACGGGACCCGTTCGCCATAGTACACCGGAAACTTGTCGTTCTCGCTGGCCAGACCTTCGTCCAAGGCCACGCCTGCGGCATACAATTGGGCAGTTGGTGACAGACAAGAGATCATAGTGTGGGCGATGGTGGCATTTAATGCCGCTTCAAGAGTGCATACCGATGTTCAGCTCTTTGAAGAGTGGATCCTCTACAAAGCGTTCCATGCCATCATGGCCGCCAATTTCCTCATCTATGACGCACCCCAAACAACCCAAGCAAAAGCTGATCTGTCACCTCAAGGAGACACAGAGACACAGAGACACAGAGACACAGAGACACAGAGACACAGAGACACAGAGACACAGAGACACAGAGACACAGAGATAGAGAGAAGGAACGAGCGGCGTCGAGTACGAGGGATACCTGGCACAAATGTCAAGTGGATGGTCCGCGCAAACGAGGCACCGGCAGCGCGAAGCTCGCGGAGAGCCTCAAGACTACGGAACCCCCAAGCAATGATACGATTCGACAGATATGATGTGAAAATGAGGCAGGTCAGCGAGAAGGACAAGCATTTTGTGACGACCATGCGCCCAGTGGTTGACATTGCAGAGTTGTACGCACTACTGCATGCCAACGCATTTCATATCTTGCGAGCCGCGGGCGTAAATCCAGCCATCCTCCTTGACCGCAGCAAACGGGGGGTGCTTCCAGTGTTCCTGTGCCATGGACCACAGCAGAGATTGAGAAATCGCAGCTGACGCGCTTGGATGCGTGAAATGCCCCAGCAGAGCAGACCTCGAAAACAGGCACGACATCGATGTGCGAGTTGAGAACGACTGAGGGCAGGGTTGGATCAGTGCCCGGGCAGGTCATGATAACCGCTGGCTTGCCAGGCACGCCTGTGCATGTTCAGATAGATTGAATTCACTGGCGTGAGAGATGATCCATCTCTCTCAGCCCAAGTGTGCACGGAATACGGAATATGTGTACTGGTGAAGCCAGGGTCGGTCTCGTACCTTCCCAGCGTCGCACTTCGAAGCCAAGGTCTTTGGCCTGCCCTTCAAGGAAGACAGCCGCAGCCTCTGCGGTGTCAATCAGTTCAGTAAAATGAAAGCAAGCCCCGCTGCCAGCGCGCCATTTTCCCTGGTCTCTCTGTTCTTCTCTGCTGCTCTTCCCTGTTGAAGGAAGATAAACTTCAACGCGGAAGGCTCACCATAGTCTGGTGTGGGCTGCATCGTGTTGATGCGCAGGTAATCGCGAAAGCGCGTCACGGCCGGGTGCTCATCACCAGCCTGACCACCCTCAGTCACATGGGCTCGCTTGGCCTCGGGCTCGGAGGCAGCAGAAGGCTTGGCTGCCATGGTTGCTGTAGCTGTTGGTGAAGCTGTTGGTGAAGCTGTTGGGGTCGCAAGTCAAACCCACTGAACAGGAAGAGTGGACAAGGGGAAAAAAAGCAACAGCAGACAAAATTGAAACTTGGCTTGATGTTGTTGTTGTTGTTGGTTGAAAAAAAAAAAAAGAAAACAAAGGTTGAAGCATTTTTTGAAGATCACAAGGAGACGAGTGGGTTGTGTCACTGGGGCAGAAAGGCAGAACATCAGCGATCGGATCTTGTTGACTGCGCAAAGGATGATATGGGAATAAATTCTTCTGATCTTGTCCGTTGGTTTGCAGTCCATAACGATGCAAGCGCAGCGAAACATTTTTCTCGCTTTTGCTGGCAGTCGTTTGTGACAAATTATTTGTAAAAAAAGAAATACCAACACCAACACAAAAAGACTGGAACAAGAGAGGAAGGGGAAACATGTGCTTGAAGACCGAGCTGAAAGGGTTTGAGCCGCACACGGAAGTGGCGAATCAGACACTAGCCAACTGGGAAGCACCCAACACGCGGTGGCATAAGCAGCAATTGAGAAACACCGATCACCTGATAGAAAACAACAAGTGTCATCTTCCGATCTACAACTCTGACTCGCCGTACAGCGCGGTGGCGAAGGACTGATAATCCAAAGCACCTACGTGAGTGGAAAAAGAAAAAAAAAAGAGAGAGGAAGAAAACAAGGGTAAGAGAACTGACAGATCATGGCTGGCACACACATGCGCTCAGGTGCATTCCGGTTCGAAATGGTATCCACATCGCCAGTATCGGGCGTACCTTCAGGGCCATCGCCATAGGGAACCATGTGCTGAACGCAATACTCGTAAAGCTCTGGGGACAGCTCGCGCTGCAGATCCGTGGCCATGACGTAGGGTTGGCCATTGGCCAGGATTTGGAATGCTTCGAGAAGCTGGGAGGAGGTCTCGGCGCCGGCGCTCTCCTCGGCCTTGAAGCGAACAAATTCATCAAAGGTCACGGTGCCCTCCTTGTTGAGGTCGACGCGCTCCCAAATAGACTCAAATTCCTTGTCAGAGCCATCGTCCTTGTACACCTCCGCCACGGGATGGCCAAGGGAGAGGAGCACACCATGGAACTCACGACGCTCGAGGCGACCACTCTTGTCCTTGTCAAAATGCTCAAAGCTCTGGCGGAACTCAGCCATTTGCTCGTCGGTGATGTTGGTGGCATCGCGCGAGAGAATTTGGTTGTTAAACTCGTTGACCTGAGCCACGATGCGGTTCTTGAGGGCGTTGAAGTGACCACGCACAGACTCGATGGTGGCAGACGTGTGAGGGTTCTTGTAGATGAGCTTCTCCTGCTGCTTCTGGTGAATGCCCTCGAGGGCGTCCTGCGAGCTGCGGTGTTGCTCGACCTCGGTCTGCAGGCCCTGGAGCTGTTGCACGGCATCTTCAAGGGTGGCCTGCGTCGACTGTTCAATGATTTGGTTCACAGTCGAATCCTTATTTTGCAGGAAGGCAGATGCCTCATCCGCGGCACTGGCAAACTCACGGCGGATCTGCTCGCGTCCTTGCTGGTGGGACGCTTCCTCGGCAAGCTGCTCATCGCGGCGGGTCACGAGTTCCTGCACGCGAGTCCACTGCTGTGACAGGTCCTCAAAGTTGTGGGGCGAGTAGGGATTGCTGGTGTTACCCAGCTCCTGCATGCCCTGTTGCAGCACCTGCAGGCTCTCAAAGGCTTGTTGGTATTGGGGCAGCTCAGCCTTGAAGGCCTCATGCTCTTGCTGAAGCACGGTCACATCCTCCTCCGTGTCCACAATGTAGGGTTCCTGCAACTTCTCGCAGGCGAGCTCAGCAAAGTTGCCAAAGGGGGGCGCCTGCTTGGCATACTCCAAAAAGAGGTCATCCAGATGACGCTGTCGCTCTTCTGCTTGCTGCAGGTTGGTCTGGCGGTCATGGGTAAGCTGCACCAGCGTCTGCCACGTCTCGTAGATGGCGGCATAGCGGTCGTTGACCGAGTCGGCATCGTGATAGCGCAACTCGTCGAGCTCATTGGCAAGCGTACCAATCTCATGCACGCGCTGCTCGTGAGCCGTCAAATCTGACTGGAACGCCTCATGCTTCTTCAGCAAAGCTGAGATGCCCGCCAGGTTCTTGTCGCTGTAGTCGTCGCTGGCCAGCTCTTCGTCGCGGCCCTGGGTCCAGTTTTCGTGGGTGGTGGCTTTGGCGTTGAAGCGCTCCGCCTTGCTCTCAGCCAACCGCACGCGGCGCAGCTCCTCAAGGAGAAAGTCCTTGTGGTTACCGTCGGCCGTTTCGAGATCCTGCCAGCGGTTGTGAATGTCCTCGATCTCCTTGCCCTCATTGGGCACATAGGGAGGGCGACCGGAGAGGCGCAGCTTGGTCTGAAGGGTGGCGTAGTGCATCTCGAGGCGGCTCTTCTCCTCGAGCTTGGGTGGAACTTCCTCGCCACGAAACTTGTTGGCCTCCTCGAGCTGCGACTGGCACTCTGGGACGGTGTTGAGGGCAGGGCGCTGATCCAGGCGCTCAATGTTGGTGTTGAGCCAAGCAAGAAGATCAGTGGCCATTTCTTCGTATTCCTCCATCATGCGCTCGTGCTCGCGGTTGGTCTCCAGGACGGCGGCAATCTTCTTGGCAGCCAGCTCTGACTTGTTGGAGCTGGCAAAGGCCTTGTAGTACGCGGCCACGTAAGTCATGACAGAGCGCTCGTCAGGCTTGATGCAAGTGAGCATGTCCTCAACGTCGAGCATCTTGGGAATGTCAAGATCACGCTCTGCCACCTCAAACGCCAGCTCAAAGTTCTCGCGGGGGTTGTCCTTGCGCAACTTGCTAAAGTCGAGCAGGTCGGGGCGATGGCGGTGAATGAGGCCACAAAAGCCCAGACCATCCTTCCAGGACATGTGGAAGTTCTGGATGTCAATGTTGTTGTAGGGCTCAGTCTTGCGCTGGCACCACAGGAGGAGGGCGTCCTTGGCGTTCATGTGCTCCTCGGAAATGTCCTGGATCTCGAATCGGAGAATCAACATCCACACCAAACCCAGGATCATCTTGAGGTTGCTATCCACGACCTCTGTTCACGAGTTGGCCCGGGATGAGGTGAGGCGTGTGTGACTGCAAAGGCGTCTCCTCCGCATGCAGGAGCGAGCACAGGAGATCAGTGACAGACCTTCGGGAGCAATGGACGAGACGTTGACGCCCTTGCTTTGAATAAAGTTGAGGGCCTTGCCGACGTTCTCAACATTATGAATGCGCATCTTGCCCTTGGCAGCCTTGGGCAGGGTTTCGTCGGCAATAATCTCGACGAGTTGCAGGAGGAGCTTGCCATCACACAGGTCAACAGCGATATCCTCAATCTTGAGGCTGCGCTTGCGCAGATGCGAGTTGATCCAGGCCGTGAAGGTCTAGAGCATCATATGGCACGCACAGGATGTTGCAGCACATGAATTGGGCGTTCGAGCTGATGGCAAATGCCTGGGTCTTGTGTTTGACCCATTCAACCACTGGTTGGCTTGGTTGATGGTCAATAGCCATCTCGCCGTAGCCAAAACGTGACAAGAGGAAGCCAAAGTCAGGAAAGGCGAAGAAAGCGTACCTTTTGCTGCTGGCGCTGCCATTGATCGTCAAGGACGCGAGGTCCCTCTTCCTGTTCCGCAAAGGCGGCAGATTGCGAGGTGGCAGCCATCTTGCTCAATCACAACGCGGGCGGCAGCAGGGCTGGACGAACAAGCAACGGCTACGTGTAGGGGAAAACAAGGAGAAAGAAGCCCGGACAACCGGTTTGAGGTGAGCACACACGGATGCGCGCGCGCGCTTTGCTGGTTGAGTTTGTTTGGGCGGCTCAGTCCAACATAAAACCACACGCCAACTTTTAGATGATGCAGCCCATCCAGGCAGAAAAAAAAATAATATGTCAGGTTGGTGGGAAGACAATGAGACAGAGAGACAGAGGGACAGAGGGACAGGCAGCAGAAGAGAGTCAACCAGATTAAAGAGAGTCAACCAGATAGAAGAGAGGGAAAGGAAGTTGCTCGCACGGTGCACTGCCACACAGAGCAGAGAAGGAAAAAAAAAAAGCAAAAGCAAAAGCAAAAGCAAAAGCAAAAGCAAAAGCAAAAGCAAAAGCGATCCGACACCTTGGCAGTCCAAAGAGAGGATGTGAACTGCCAAACATACAAGCTGCCCTTTCACACTACGCGAGATGTACAGGTGAAGCTGGAATTCAGACGCTGAGGCGGCACAAGAAGGCACACACGCACACCGCACCGCACGCACAGACCACGAGCCGGCCACTGACCCTTTGGTGTTCAAAATACCATCCACTTGGATCCGAGCCAGTGAGATGGAGAGACAGAGATAGAGATAGAGATAGAGATAGAGATAGAGACAGAGACAGAGATAGAGATAGAGATAGAGATAGAGATAGAGATAGAGATAGAGAGAAAGAGATAGCAGAGTTAGAGAAAGAGATAGAGATAGAGATAGAGTCAGAAACAGAGATAGAGATAGAGATAGAGACAGAGACAGAGATAGAGATAGAGATAGAGATAGAGACAGAGACAGAGATAGAGATAGAGATAGAGATAGAGAGACAGAGATAGAGACAGAAGACAGAGACACAGTGAGCGCTCGAGCCAGTGCTGGCGGAACAAAAGAGAGACCCATGAACAAAGGAATGCAACACCACAACACTAGAACTGACCAATTCGGCATCAAAAGAAAAGACCTTATTGGATGAGCTGGAACCGTTTCAGCATTTCACACACAGCACGTTAAAGGCTTTTCGTGAGTTGCGTGTGCACGCGTGGCAGCGCGAGCGAGAACAACAGCAGGCATGAGCAAGGCATGGCAGTGCACACTTTTCAAGTGTGATGTTTGATACAGTTAATCAAAGTCATCGTCTGGGGATCGCTACCAAATGTCATATCGTTCATCTCAGACAAGGTGCCTGTCCCCACGCGAAGATCAGGAGGTGGTGGCTCTGTTTGCACCCCCGATGGTATCTTAGAGAGGGCAGCCGCAGTGCGATCTCAGAACCCTCATCGGCAAGATCAAGCTGTTTCAGAATTCACTTTGACATGAAAAGAGGCAATGGCCAAAAACGCATTGGCAGTGAAAAGAAGAGGCGTTCATGTCCAACGCCGTACACACACACACACACACACACAATGTCATGGTAATCTTTAATCTTTATCTCGTCACGCACTGCTCGAAAAGCACACGACGAGCGTCAGGAATAAGTCCCTCCTAAAGTTGGCAAGTGGTAGAATATTATCAATATCGAAGACGTTGGTTGGGGCAAGCGTCAATGTCAGCTTGACGCATCGGCAGGTGGTTGGCTCGGCTCCTTGGACCGTTCGTGGACGTAATGATGCCTTTCATGCGTGTCGAACGACGCAGAAGAGGATGTGGCCGTCATCGGCTCCTCTGCTATCGATGTGCTCAGGTCATTAATCTTGCCGCGCTTTGAACGAGGACCAAGCCACCCTTGATCGTCCTTGGCAGATGCACTTGGCGACTGGATCTTGCTCAGTTGTGGCGTGGTGAGTGCGCTGGGCACTGCCGCTGGCGGCTTGCTGGCGTCATCTCGATGTTTGGCGCTTGGCGCATCACCTTGGTTCTTTGATATCAGGGTCGGTGAACGGCTTGCCCGTTGTTCCATCGTGGACCGCACCGTGTCCAAGACCGGACTCCCAGCTGCTGAACTAGAAGTTGAAGTGTCCACGCGTGATCGAGTGGCCCGAGCCAGTAATGACAGGCTGAGCCAGTCACGTCGTAGCGCCTCACTGGCTTGCACCAAGAGTTCGTGCTTTTTCGAGTCCGCCCGAACCTATGCATCAGGAACCACACATGCGTTCAACAATCAATCCACGGGTCATTCAAGTCACCAGCGTGAGCTCAAGGGGCTGCTATGCATTTGCATTCATAAAAACTTCAAAGACATGTCCTATTTCTCTCCCCACAGCTGACGGATTCACCAACCCAACACCACCCTTCTGCAGACGAGAAAGAAGCAAAGAGAGGTGTGTGACCCTCACACAACGAAGTCCAAGTGCACACACACACACACACACACACACACACACACACACACACACACACACACACACACACACACACATAGTGTATGCACATGCATATGCACGAGCCATCATCATTGATGGCCACGAAAGGACAGGTCACCAGTTTGTCAATGAATCACTCAGCGTACCTTGGCTGTCAACTCTTGTTGCTCGCTTCGAAGGCGTTCACGATACTGCTGCAGGTAAGCCTTTCGCCAACCTTTGGTACCAGGACGCAATGGTTTGCCTTCTGCATCGTGAAACCTTGCTGCTGTGCGTGGCTTGCTGGCGCGAGGCCGGGGTGGTGGCAACGATGCTGGTGTGACCACGTCCATCTCCTCCGACTTCATCAGCGACAAGCCATGACGTTCCCCTAGGGTCAAAAACTGGCGCCATACCTAACAGCATGTACACAATGTGCCACAAGATACATTCGGATGCATGCATATGTCAGCCAACCGGTTGGTTTGAAAGAGCAGCACTCCAGAGACCCGACGTTGAACACAAAGCAACAACAGATACAGCGTGTACGTGTGTAGCAAGGAAAAGTCTGACCGCAATGTTATGTTCCCTTTGGCAAAGGCGACGAATACCCTGATCGCCCTCGAGTTGTTGTATCAAATCATTGGCAGTCACATGCTCCTGCATGGCTGCCAAACTATCAGCCCCATCCACCATGGCCTAAACGTGAAGCTTCGATGAGAAAAGATGAACAGCAAAGGGCCACATGTCGACGAGTCAACGTGGCAATCGCCACTTGAGGACAGAGAAACGCACCACCCAGTGCAAGGCCGTGCGCCCTCTAGCATCCGCCAGGCTCAAGTTGGCACCATGTTCAAGCATGAGGCGAACCATGCTGGGAGAATCCTGAGAAGCCGACCGTGATGACGTGGAATGCAAGCACAAGGCGTGAATGAAGCAGATCGAGAACTAGCGAAAGCACAACGCATCACAATGTCAAGTGCAAATGCACACCCCATGTTTCAAGAACGCATACCTGCATGCAAGCCTGCATCAAGGGAGTTCGCCCTTGCTCATCAACTTGATCGACACTGGTGCCGGCTGCTAATAGACGCTCAACGGCTTGACGATCCTCCAACAGGATGGCCCAGGTCAAGTCAGAGGTCGCAACAGTTGAATTCTATCTCGGATACAAACAGGACAGGATGATCAGCTGCGGGATTCAGGACAAAGCACGACTGCACATGGTCCACACTCGCGCCCTCTGTTCTCTCCACCCCTCTCTCTGCCACGCATACATTGACACACACACACACACACACACACACACACACACACACACACACACACACACACACACACACACACACACACACACACACACACACACACACACACACACACTTTCCCTTTCCCTTCTTGTATCTGTGAGCGCATGCTTGCCCATTTGTGATGCCCTAGCGCTACGTTGCCAAGGCTCTTGCAGTCACAGAGAGAACGTGCACTATGGGCATGTTGCATGCAAAGACACTCTACCTACTTTGTCACCCGACATGAGCAAACTTGGCGGCGAGGGAACAGCTCGCCCCTCGCGCAGCAGCGTAAACGGAGCTGATTCACATGCTGTAGCGGAGCTCGAATGAGACGCGCTGGGCTTAGTGCCTGTCTCGTCAAGCGTTGACGCCCAACCTGTGCCCGAGTCGTGAGAGGACAGCTGGGAAGCAAGCTGTTCAGTGGTATCCAGGGGGCGGCAAGCACCGGATCCAGCGGTTTCTGGACACGTGGAGCTCAGCGAGGTGATAGTGGTGGGAGTGGAACGACGGGTATCCTTTCGTTTCCTGAGCATACAGGCCCTGTCACTGTGGGTGGGAGGCAGCGTAGGAGAGCGCAGGGCAGGCAAGGCGCGCATAAATGACAGTCTTCATGACCACCGGCCGTGGTGACAGCTCATGCACGTGCAGCTGCTTTTGATCACACAACACATACCTCAGCAAAGAGCCCGCCCTGTTGATAAGATAAAGAAGGGGTGGAAAGTGATGGCCTCTGATATGAAAAGAAGGAGAGGTGAACAGGCAATAAAGTCGTCTTGACCGGTTTTCCGGCCGGCGACCAGCGCACTCTGCCGCACGAGAAGGTCTTGAGTCTAGTAGCTTAGCCTAACTATCTAACTGGCAGCCATGAAGCCAAGGTGAAGATGAGTCGTGGTGGTGCGAAGGGGCGGGGCAGCGGTTTGTGTGAATCATAACAGGTATTCAATCAAAGACGTGCATCAACGACGAGGAAGCGAGTGTGATTAAGCAGGGGAGTCGAGAACAACCGGCACACCACCTCGTGCAGCACACCCCTGCATGAAGGAAGGAAATGCAACAAAAGTGGGGTCACTCAGGGAGAAGTATGGAGGAGGACGGTGCTGCAGCAACCAGCTGGAGACCCAGCCGAAGCGCGCCCCAAAACAGTATCGAGATGGAGAGAATAAAATCAAAATGAAAAAAGAAAAAGAGGTCAAAAAAGGGGCGGGGTGGAATGGGGCCGACAAGTGAGACACAAGGCCTGTCTTCTCTGGACGAGGGACCAACCAAACAAAAATCACGTGTGGAAAGAGGGCAGCGGGAACAGGAGCCGCCTCCTTAAGAAACAAACAAGGAGGCGGCCGAGTCACATGATATTGTTGCTCACATCTATAGAGGAGGCGGGTGATGAAGACGAAAAAACGGCACAAACATTCACAGGTAAAAAAAAAGGACGGTTGGTACTGACAGAGCAGAGGTAACGATGGCAGACAGCAAGCAGCAAGACAACTTGGGCGAAACAAACTGCAGGATGCAGATAAGAAGTGCACGAGGTGGGCGTGTGAGTGAGTGAGTGATTGAGTGAGTGAGGGCAGTTTGTGCCTCTTGTGTGTGGTGTGCGTGGTGGGAGCGAGGAGGTATGCTGGTTATGTGTATGTATGTGTGTGTGTGTGTGTCTGAGTGGTCTGATTGTGTGTCACGATGAGGAAACCAGTTTAAAAAATTCCGAAAGTTGCAGACCATGAACAAAGTCGTCACTTGTCAACTGCGTCGCACGATCCAACCAACAGACATCACTCAGATTCACACAACAACAAAGCACAACCAACATGTCAAGGGATGGATGTTCATGAGGTAGAAGAGAGGCTGGGCATGGCGTGTGAGGCGAAAAGCATTTTCTCCGTCTCACAACTGAGATCATGTGCCAAAGAGCACGACCGGGACAAGACACCAACAAATCAATACTTTGGATTTGAGAGAGAGAGAGTGTGTGTGTGTGTGTGAAGATGGTTGATGACGAATCTCAAAGGTCGCAACAGAAGCAACCCAATGATCCAATGATGGGTTGAACGGGGACTTTGGAGGCAGGCAAGGATGGATCTGTGTCGGCTGACATGAATGCTGTGTTTGCAGTGGTGCTAGCGGAGAGGTGGGTTACCATTTGAAATGGGCAATAGCAGAAGGATTGTGTGGGTCCCGGGTCAACTCACCAGCAAAGGATGCACAGTGCAGCGGCAAGCACAGGCAGGCAGGCAGGCAGGCAAAGAGACCAAGGNAGGGGGGGGGGGGTGCCAACCAGAGTGGAAGGAGCGGGGAGCCAAAGTACGCCTGCCTATCAAGGTGGCTGGCATGCAGCATGAAGAAGTATCCACCTTGTGACCGCCGCTGTTGTTTCTGGCAAGCAATCCATTCGGGCCACGTTGGTTGCTGGGTTGAGTTTTATGATCTACATGATCTTTGCTTCTTTGTAGGTGCCATCTGCCTGCTCCTGCCCGTTGCTGCCTTGCTTGTGTTGTTGGAGTTGCCGCTGCTGTTGTCGTCAGCGCCGACGGCACCGGCACCACTAAAGTGTGGTCCTTGACGTGAGCTGCACGAAAGAAGCACGACTTGCACTTTGCTGATTGAGTTTCATCACCAAAGAGTTGATTTATGGCACACCAATTCGCCGGTATCGTTGTCGTTGTGGTCATCGACGATGGATGGGGTTCTTCTCGCCTTGTCTCGATGGTGCCGGAAGGTCCTCTCCCTTGTTGGGAGAGCGTGTGTTGACCCCCCTCCCTGAAATTCTTCGTCCTGGGCCACTGTCCTGTTCTTATCATAGGGGTGTCCCCATCCTCCTGATGCTCTGTGATCCCCACACCCTCCTCTTGAGGGCATCGGCGTTTTGAAAACCACCTGTCCACGTGCCAGTGCGAATTGATTCTGCCCAAGTGCGCACTCGGTCCCATGTCGGCTGCTGTCCGGTGCCGTCGTTCAGACCAAAGTTTCGTCAGCGCCCAAACATGACGTAATTTCGTCACCAGCTTGAACCGTGTGCCTTTGCTGTGGTTTTTTGTGTTGCAATTCTTCCCTTCGTGTCAGCTGTTGTGTGTAGGCTGTGATTGTTTACTTTTTTTTTCTTTTTGTTCGTGATGAATGTGGGGTTTTGTGTGTGGGGCGCATTGAACGTTGGCTGATGTATCTCTCTTGACTGATTGGTTGGTTGGCAGATCGTTGGTCACTGCTTGGACAATGTGTACGTTCAGGTGTGCAAGGACCTACACTGTGACATCTAGTCCAGCGTTGCTGGGACGGGGTCATTTCTGGGCAATTTTCCGGTCGCTGCCGGGGTGGGCCTCGGCCCACACTTTTGCATGAGGCAATGTCGTCGTCGAGCGACTTTGCACAATCAACAAGCAAGATGCCTCTTTGCGAATAATAATGTGTCTGTGTGTGCGGATATGTGACCCGCTCTTTGAGGCGATTTCGCCACCTTACGCTCACTGGCCAGTGATATCTTGCTGCGTCATGACCTGTTTCGATCTCAGACTCCTCGACGCCACCCACAGAAACCCATCTATGCCGGGGCCTAGTCGGCCCCGGTCGACACTTGAAGGCGGCCGAGTGTCAACCATCATGGCACGACCCTTCTCTCCGTCATGCGGCATGTGGCCCAGGCATTTAGCCCAAACATGCGAGAGCGGTCCCTGGCTCAATCTTTTGTATGGACAATGAATAACAAAGTCATGATGGCGATCGCGTATGGGGATGATGGTGCTCTGCTGCTCTATTCACACAATCTCCACGGGACAGCACTTCAACAGGTTCGTCCTTGGTCATTGGCACACAAATCAAAACCTCCTCACAAGTAGGAGAAGCGAAGACAACAAGCAAGCTGCGCCGCCGCAGGCGGTGCACTAACTCACTCGCGTTCATAAACACAAAAGCAACCGCATCTCAACGCAAACACACACACACAATTTGATTATAAAACCTCTCAGCTCGGCTTGTGAGGCGCAAGAACAGCACCATACGTGCGCCCCTATGCCGGCTTTTGTGACACGCGCAGGACACCATTCTTGAAGCGGTGATCCTCCAAGTTGGATCGATCCACCCATCGAGAACCCTGCCACACAACTCAAAGGTGAAGGAGGAAAAGGCAAGAGGAAATGGAAGAAAAACAACGATTATCATGCATGTACACTCGCACACCCGCACACAATCCAAATGGACAGGCAGCCCAGCAACAGAGAGAGCCAGCGGTCTCATGCTGAGCAAAAGATCCTGACCCAGACTGACCTTTTGTGTTGAACGCTTGGCGTCCTTGTTCTTGTCTTTGGAAGCTCCCCGCTTGCCAGTGGGCAACATGCCCATCTCCCTCAGCTAAATGTACGTCAATGGCGGTCAAGACATTTTCCAGCTTGAGATGACAGAAAACCCGTGACAAGCGCCAGTATGGACACGGGACAGAGAACCACAAACCTCAGCATCGCGACGTGCTTGTCGCTCGCGACGCGCTTTGGTCAAAGCCTGCAGCCGCGGATACGGCATACGGGGCTCCTGGGGCTGAACCTGCGCGGGTGCCATTCAAAAAAAAGAAGGTCAAACAGCTGTGAGCCGCCCCAGAAGGAGAAGAAACCCCTGAAACGCCCCGGTTCGGCTTGGTAGGTCACATCAGAGTTCAGCGTTGCTTGGCGAGACATTCACTCACCTTGGCCCCCAGCCGTGCCAAACGCTCTCGCTTGAGCTGTCGTTTGTTCTTACCTAAGTGAGCATCACCAACGAAACAATTATTATCGTGTGCATGTGGCACCCCACGATGAACCCCTCTACCAGCTAGTCTTGGAGGGTCGACCAGCAGTTCGAACCTTGAGCGTGCGACAAGTTGAACTCAAAAATTTCGTGGCGAGCGGCAGTCAGCAAGGCTTCTGGACGAAGGCCAGACAGATGCTCGCCCACCCTCACATTTGTGCCAGCTGTCGACGACTCCTGGGCCGTCACAGATGACTTGGCATCTGCATGAGCACCGCGAATATCGTTGCCTCGGCGCAACGCCGGCGGCTCAACAAACTCAATGACCTCGACCGTCTTTTGCGTGCCTGCATTCGAGCTCGAGGATGGCTCGGGTAACTCTGATTGATCGGGCTGTGGGTCTGATCGAGGGGTTCCTTTTTTCTTGCTCTTCTTGGCCTTGGGTGCACTCAGGTTGAGACTTGGTTCGGGCTCGGACTGCTCAACTGTCACTTGTGCCTGTGTCACCTCATGCCCAGCACCTCGATGACGGCCAGCTCGCGCGCTCGGCACAGCCTTTCGAGATGCAGCCTTGCCTGTAGATGTCCGTCGTTTTGGCTTCGCGTCCTCTTTGCGTGAGCTAGAGGCAGTGCGCTGCGGCCCAAGGGCCTGCAGCTCCTGCTGCAGCTCTTCCTCAATGCCCATGTCTGGCACTCACAAACTGACCGACCAAGCCCGAAAAAAAGTCACAACCACGCTGTGTCACTCGCGACACAAGTGAAGGGTTTCTGCTGAAACGACAACTTTATTCGGGATTTTCAGGTCAACCCCAAACAAACCAAAAAAACACACACACCCTTCCCCCTCAAAAACTCCCCATGAACAAAGTCGACAGGGGACCGCCATGGCTGTTCCCGTGGTGGACATGGGCTTGCCTGCACTTGATGTTGTCTGGCATGAGAAATGCGGAGCGCCTCCAATGGCATAGATTAAACGAAAAGAACACAACAGACACAGCATAAAACAAGTACAGATCAACAAATGAGTGCCAGATGGCACCGGTTGTAAATAAGATTGCCGTCTCGTCGATCACACAAAAGCCGCACAGAGCTGACACATGACATTGTGTGTATCGGCGGGGAAGCGCGACTCAAAATGGAAGAAACAAAACGGGACCACGGGCTCAAAGGAGAGGAGAAGAAGGGTGGTGAAGTGGCAGTGCAATGTCAGAGTCACTGTGGTCAGGCTTCAACCCAAGACGTTGGACATGGTTGACTTGCCGCCAGGGGGCTGCGAGATGGAAGTGCTTTTGCGCCAGTCGCGGAAGCGCGCCGACTCCTCGCGCGGACGCTCCGAAACGGGGCGGGCACCGGTCACCTTAAAGTCTACCATAATCACGAACGCACATTGTTCGTGTTCAGTTGAATGCAAGGCAGCCTTCGTTGTCGGGCTGAGCACAGGCAACAAGCCAGTTTGGAGTACTTCCTCAAGCACACGTACCATCTGGGTTGACATAAGGAGACGCTGACAAGTGCGATCCGAGCGAATTGATTGAGGCAGTGCCATTCTCCACCACGCGATATGTCTGCTCGCGCTTGCCCTTGAAGGGATTCACGGTCGGGACTATCCACAATCACGCGCGGGGAGAAAAGTCAACACAGCAGATGCACCGACTTTAGGGTGTGGGCCCCAGCCCACATTCGCCAATGCAACAGGTGGTAGAAACTCTCTAGCTACACACCAGTGGCCTGCGCAAGAGGATCGTAGCTGCGACCCGACATGACAGTCGTCGTGCTTGCCAAGTCGTAGCGTGTGCTGGGATCCACGGTCTGCAGAGGTTACCCAACGTGAGTGGGCGTATGCGCATGACCAAGAGCGTGGCACGGTGAGCAGGCCTGTGGTCTCGTTGTTCAGCGCACGTGGACTTCATGGCCTGCTTATTTGCTCTTCGCCACTGCACGACACATGGATGACATGAAGCCAGTTGGGTTTGAGACTTACGCGAGAGCGTCCGGCGGGCGTATCACTCGCGTGGGCCAGAACCGTATCCATCTCCTCCTGGGTGTTTGAATGCACATCCATCGTCAACAGGCCATCAAAGAAGCGAAATCTAATGACCTGGCGCGAGCGCCTACCTGCAGCTGCAGCTTCTCGGCGAGGGCACGCTCGTAGGCCGCCTGCAGTTCAGCCAGGCTATGGTCCTGCTTCACCATGGCTCCCTGGAATGGTAAACATGACATTGCGTCGTAAGTTGACCCCGGCCTTTAATCGGGATATGACCCACACCAGCACACGTAGGCGCAAAAGAAGAGCACCGCAAGACAGGCCCACCTGCAAGGAATCCAGCTTGGTTTTGATGTGGCGCTCCTGCAGCGTCGAAGCTTCTTGCTTCAGACCAAAAATCTTGGCCTGGATACGCATTCACACACCGAAATGTTAGACCTTGGGATCCAAGCATGGCCAGCACCTTGTACGCACTTTGCACCCAAAGCAGCACAGATCAGCCACTCAGGAATTGGAGAAAACGTGAAAAACAAACCTGCAGCGACTCTTCTTGAACGCGAAGCTGGCGGATTTGATCAGCAGCCTGTGCAATGGCCTGGCGCACCTCCGCGAGCTGATTCTCTTCCGCAGCAATCTCTTCCATCAACTCAGTCTGGCGAGCGGCCTTCCAAGAGCCAAAGAGAGCCGATGCGAACGAAAGTGGGTATCCAGCGAAATGACTGCCGTGCGCAAAGTAGAATCACAAGCAAGATCGCTCACCTTGACGGGTGTTCCGTTGCTTGAAGCCATGGCAGCTGTATCCAGGGGCAGCGATCTACGCGAGCGCGGGCAGGCAAACGTAACCCGTGCCAGTGCCAATCAGATGGGCAACCATGGTGTGATGCACAATCTCCCCAACATCAAGACAGTTGGTGTCCGCATGCTTGTAAAGCACAAAATCTCAGACTGTGACCCTTTGAACCCAAGGCACAAGGCGTCCCCACCCCGATCCCGCCGCAAACCGCCTCTGGGACCTGTCTGACCAGTGGCAGGCGAATCCACTTTGGCAGTGCGCCGCCAAGCGTTACATGAGGTCTGTAATCTCACTGATGCCTCTCCCGTAACTCCACAAAGCGTGCACACGCAAAAGGGTGTGCCAGAGCGCGCGCGCGAGCACACAGCCCAGCTCAAGCCCCCCTACCAAATCGGTTGGCAATGCCAAAGAAAATAAAAAAAAATAAAAAAATAAAAAGCTCAAAATCAAAGTCAAGTGATAAAGCCGGATGGTGTTTGGTAGCGGCTTTTCTTATCTTGACACTTTTCTCTCTCTCTCTCTCTCTCTCTCTCTCTCTCTCTCTCTCTCTCTCTCTCTCTCTCTCTCTCTCTCTCTCTCTCTCTTGTCTTTGCTCTCTTTCTCAAACCGACCAAACCAATTCACTCTCTCTCTCTCACATGTGGTAGTTGTACTTTTCCTTTGTGTCTTTGCTCCTTTCTCAAACCGACCACACCAATTCAATCTCTCTCTCTCTCTCTCTCTCTCTCTCTCTCTCTCTCTCTCTCTCTCTCTCTCTCTCTCTCTCTCTCTCTCTCTCTCTCTCTCTCTCTCTCTCTCTCTCTCTCTCTCTCACACACACACACACACACACAAAAGAGCCTCTCTCTCTCTCTCTCTCGAAAGAGTGTAGTCAAGCAAACATCCGAATCTTTTTTTATGCTACGCCCATGGTTTCGGAATGGTACATGATCTTCACCATGGCATGTACACGACAACAGCTGGAGGAGGAGACGGCATCGTTAAAGCGTATCAACGCTTCGTGCAGCCAAGGAGGTAGACTTTCTCTCGATTAGAAGACAAGCACATGGGCGTTCAGAACCACAGCAACAACCACAGAGTGGCGCGGAGGATGGGAGCCAGATTCGGCGCAGGACGAGCCAGCCCAGGGTGGGAGGAGGGTGTGCGTGGTGAAGGTGTCACAATCTCAATCTCAATCCACACCCAACACCAGATTCACAAGCGTAGAAGAAGGAGAAGGAGACGAATACACAGAGACAAACGAGCATAGAGCACAAACAGGGTGTCCCAAGCGCAGGAACCAAAGCCAAGCTTCGCAAAGGTATGTTTATGTTGCAGCCGTTGCCAGCAGCTGGCCGACCCACTTTGTAATCGGCCGCACCTCGTCTTCAGCTGCATCAGCCCCGGCGTCGGTTGACACGACGTATTCGCCGGGCTGTTGATAGCCCGCGGCAAACTTGAACACGCCGGCACCCAGAGGCTGACGACCACGCAAGGATGTTGGCACACACAAGACCATGATGAGAACAGACACCAAGCCCGAGTCAAGGACGAGAAAGATGGTGGTCAAAGTGAATTGATAGAGCAAGGGCAGCAAGCCAAGATTACAAACCTGGTCATCAGTGAAGCCACCAGTGTAGGTCATGCCGGCATATTCGATTGTGCCCTCACCCGACTTGACGCCCTTGGCCCATGTACCCACGTACTGCCAGTCAAAGCACAGGGTCAGTCGACGCGTCCAACATCAGCAACTTACACAACCCACCAGATAAGCCCACCTACCTTGATGCCAGTCGCACCATAGGTGTAGGCACCCTTGCCCTCCTTGACACCGCTCAGCCATTCGCCCTCATAGCAGTCACCATTGGGATATGTGTACTTGCCATGGCCCGAGCGCACATCATCCACCCAAGTACCTGCAATGACCAAAACATCATGTCAGGAGCAAAGCGGTTGAGCCGGGCACATGGTATAATAATCGACAATCGGAGCCACCGCAGCAAAGTGTGCACCAACACCAAAAGCAAACCCCGGGACGAATCTTACCCTCGTAAACAGCACCATCAGGATACCAAAAGGTTCCTTGCCCGTGCTTGCGCCCATTCATGTACTCGCCATCGTAGCGGGCTCCTGACTTGAACTTGTAAATGCCCTGCTCAAAGTAGGTGCAAACCATAAGGATACTGGCGTGCCAATCGATGGCCCTGAGCCAAGCCCACAAGCTCGCAAGCATCATCTACCTTGCCGTGGCGTTGGCCATCTTGATACTGGCCCTCATATTTATCGCCGTTGGGCAAGTTGGCCACACCCTTGCCATGGCGAGCACCCGTGTCGGGGTGGCGGTCGCCATGGTACGTCTATCAACCCGCACATGCAAACAGAACTCCAGTGACAAGAACGCAAACGAACAAGACATGCACCAGCCGAGTACAGGCTAAAGGAGAAACGCGAGTCTTATACAGCCAGGGGTCGCGGAGATCATGCTCCAACCAGCACATCAAGTCACGTACGCCGATGGAGGGCCCGTGATCGTCATCCTCAAAGTCGCTCATGATATCGGTCCACAAAAGAGGCTAGGCACGAGATAGGAAGCTTCTAATAAAACAAACCGAACCTGAACAACCATGAGCCGAACCGCTCTCCGCCAAACCCAGCAAGCAAGTCAGAACAAAGGGCAGCACCCCGATGCCCACTCGCCCGTCCGCCCGCCCGAGCACTCACCAAAGCAAAAATAAAATCAAGGGAACAAGCGCTCTGTGTGTGTGTGTGTGTGTGTGTGTGTGTGTGTGTGTGTGTGTGTGTGTGTCTTGTGTTGATGTGAAAGTTGCGTTGCCAAGGTAGGTGGAGACTCACTGAGACTGGTATCGAGACTGAGAGACTCTCATAAAAGATGACATTGCCTTCCTCACCAACAAAAGAAGAACAGTGTTGTTGTGTGAAAAAAAGTTCTTTTGGAACGTTGCGACCGACAGTTTGAGCCGAAGGGGGGCGGTGGGTTCAGGGCATCCAACAACAGCATCAGCATCAGCATCATGATGCCGACGGCGGAGCAGATCAACCAGGCCTTTATCATTTATGCCAACGAGGATGCCTGCATTTCAGCCGACAACCTCGGCACCTGCCTGCGAGCCCTGGGGTTCAACCCGACCGAAGTGGAAGTTCAGGTGTGAAGTTCTGTTCCCTCGCTCAAGGCTTTGCGTTCATCGCGGAGATCGCGCGATCGATTCACTTGGTGGGGCCGTCGCTGTCTGTGGCGGATAGGAATGCGTGATTGTGGCGGATAGCAACGGCACGGGCAACGTCTCCCTTGACAAGTTTCGCAAAGCCGTGGACCTCATGGCCCAAAAACCCCAGGTATGGTGGCTCCCGGACCTGTGCTGTGCCCCCGTCCCTGGCTCAGGGCGTGTTGGTCGATCTCAACCATCTCTGTTCCCCGGCCCTCGGCGGCGGGTGTCGGCACTTCAGCCAACCAAGAGTCAGCTTCAGGAGGCTTTTAATGCTTTTGACAAAAAGGGCAAAGGATCCATTGCCATCAACGAAATCCGCAATCTGCTGACCAAGATGGGTACGTGCGGAAAGCGCGAGTGTTTGATTGGGCACGGCGCCACGGCTCCGGGGCTTGAGGCTCTCATGCACCCTCACATCATTTTGGCTGACGTCTCTCTGCAACTCCAGGTGAGGGCTTGACCGAGCAAGAGTTCAACGATATGATTCGAGTGGCTGATGCAGATGGTAGTGGGTCCATTGATGTCGAGGAGCTCTTTGAGATGATGACGGGACCAGTCCCACCCGTCTAAGCCGTGATCGGATTTGACGGGTGTGAGGAAGTTGGACCATTCACAACCAATCGCGCCTGTGCCGGTGTTCATGTTAATCCCTTGATGTTATCTGCGCTTTGTGGCGCTGCTACCGTAATAATTTTTTTTATCTAATGTGTGCATTTTCTCATCTGTGCCGCGTGCACGACGCTTGCGCTCAATTGCCATCATGATCAAACGAAAAAAAGAGTCTGGTGGAATTATCCCATGCATGGGCTGCAACTTCCGTCACTGCCACCCCATGCACGCCCGCCACCACCTATTCGGCGACCAAGTGAATGAGGACCATGCACTGACATGATGGGCGATTGGACGTCGAGCACAACGACGTACCTCGGCCACCTGTTGCATCATGGCGGGCTCATTGCGGCCCTTAACACCTCGACCCGACTCAAACTTCTCTGGCTTCTTGGCGACGTCAGGCCAGGATTGCACATGCTTGGCCGAGGCGTGGGTGGGTCGCACATCACACCAAGGGCAATCCGTCTACTCGATGATGGTTTGGGCATCATAAGCAAGTACCATGTGCGGCGACACGGACAGCCATCGCGCTTTTTGCATACCTCCAGCATCAAGCGATCCAGTGGCAGCTGTGCGACCACATCAAGGTTCTCCTGGGTTTTGAGAGAACAGCCGTTGATACCAATGTAGAAACCAAGGTCCAGCTGCAGAAAATTGCCCGTTCCAAAAGGAATTGGTGAGACACCCACACAGGTGGGGGTGAAGTTAAGGTACTTGCCTCTCCCCACTTCCTCCCTTTTTCCCTCGTGACACTTTTTTTTCCAACCCTGGGACTCACGAGCTGGCGTGCCACATCAAGTGGGCCATCATATGAATGGACAACGCCGGTGGGCCGCCTAAGCACAGAGGGATGGGGTGCACCACGCAGGCCCTCGCCCAGTAAGCGCGCGTTGCTCACGTGTGTCACATGCAGATACATGCACACACCCACAGCGCGCGGGGGAGCACGGTGTGGTATGGGCCAGGCCAGTCTCACCGGTCAAGGCCGTTCATGATCTCAAGAAAGTCGTCGTGCGCATTGCGCAGGTGCAAAAATATGGGCAGATCCAGGTCCAAAGCCAGATCAATCTGCTCGAAGCAAGCCAGAAGCGCCAGGGCGTTGCCCCGATTGTACATTAGCGCGCCACCGCAACGAACGGGCCTCAGTGCACAGGTGCACAGCCCTCACTCCACCCACGAGTGCACCTGTTGCTGAAAGTAGCGCTTTTGAGTCTCCTTGGGGCAAAATTCAAGCCGGTCGTAATCGAGTCCTGTTTCGCCCACCGCTACGACCTGTTCCAACCCGCATTGGCTGTGACTGCCACGTGCGCAGGCATGCACTTGACGACCTGAACCACACGTCCAGGCACGCACTCACATCTACCCAGGCTACGTGACATCGGACACGCACAAACACGCACCTTGTCGCGATTGGCCTCGATGAGAGACCTGAGCTGAGCTAAGTAGTCTTGAGGACCATCAGCATGCGCATCAAACTCGCTACAGCGCGTTGGATGACACCCGACCGTGCAAGTCAGCTGATCTGTACACAAGAACGCAAAGGGCATGGTGAGACTCACTTGTCTTGATCGCTCATGGCCGCTCTGACAGCCTCGGTGAAAGCCCAAACTCATACACAGAGCCAAGGCTGGCAGGTGAGAGCCACGTACCATGGTTTCTGACGAGTGCCAGGGCCTCCTGTGCATCTGACAGGCTAGTCCCTGTGACCACCATGCGCTCCACGCCTACCCACAAGCCCACCCTCAACAGGCAATCAGAGCTGGTTGGCTGGTCATCCTGAAGCTGCATCCTCATCAAGCTTTTGTGCAACCTACCAGCCGCAGAGGCGCGTTGCAGAACCTGATCAAAATCATCTGCATGTTTGCTCTTGCCTCGATAAATCCCGCGAAACATGGAGTCTGTCAGATTGGCACCAATGTCGATGAACCGGCATCGTGTCGTTGCCGCCGCCGCCGCCGCCGTCGTTGCCGCCACGACCGAGCTCATCTCGCAGATTTGTCAGAAAAAGTAACTCATGCTGACAATTCCATAGGATATGTCAGACATTTGATTTTCTTTGCCCGGCAGTTCAAGAGTGTAGCCTGAGTCACAGTTTGAATTTGTCTCAAAGCAAGGGGAGCGTGAGTTGCCGCTACCAAAGCGCATGGTTATACCACGAGGTTTGAACCCTTGTATCAGCACTTTTTTCTCTCGGAAAGGTGAGCACATCAGCCCGCGTTCCTGGGCTCGGTCTCGCGAGCTGTGCGGGGCGTCTTGGCTCGCCGGCCACGCGCGGAGCATGTGGCAGCCGCCGTTTGGGCGAGCTACGGAGCCTTATCAAGTGGAGACATATGGAGTGTTGTCTTTCAGACAGTTTGGAAAGCACAGCCCGTGTTGGTGGCAAGCCCATTGATTATTGGTGCTGCCGTCGGCCGGGCGCCTCCTCGTCGTGTTGAGCTCTGGTGTTTTAGACAGACCGTGTCTCCTGGCGTGTGACTCTGGCGGTCGCTTGGATTAGCCACGGCCCTCTGTTGTCTTGCTGCTTCGTTTGGTGTTTACCTGCAACGCAGATTTATGACGCTTGCCGCGCTGCCCTCATGAATTTTTTTTCCCCCTGGGTTCGTTGTGGCCAATGCTACCTCTTTTGGGTTTGTGTTAATGGCAGGGCGAAGATGCAGATCTTCGTGAAGACCCTTACGGGTAAGACCATTACCCTCGAGGTCGAGCCCTCGGACTCGATCGAGAACGTCAAGGCTAAGATCCAGGACAAGGAGGGTACGTTATCATGGCTTGGGCTGCGGTCAATGTTCCGTGCATGGTGCTCGTCAAGTTTGCTTTCGCTATCCTTGCAAGCGTTGCAAGATGCGAGCGCTCTGCGCGTACCAGCAGGGCCGTGCACCACTGTTGCTAGCCCTCCCATGAGCGCTTTGCTCGACCCGTGCTCACGTGACTTGTTGTGGTCGTGGTCGTTTGTCTCGCTGCATTAGGTATTCCCCCGGATCAACAGCGTCTTATCTTCGCTGGCAAGCAGCTCGAGGATGGCCGCACTTTGAGCGACTACAACATCCAGAAGGAGTCGACCCTTCATCTTGTGCTGCGCCTCCGTGGTGGCGGCAAGAAGCGCAAGAAGAAAAACTACACCACTCCCAAGAAGATCAAGCACAAGCACAAAAACGTGAAGCTCGCTGCCCTGAAGTTCTTCAAGGTCGATGCTAACGGCAAGGTGACCCGTCTCCGTCGGGAGTGCCCCGCGGAGGAGTGCGGCGCTGGCGTCTTCATGGCCAACCATTTCGACCGTCAGTACTGCGGCAAGTGCGGCCTCACCTATTTCGCCGACGACCAGAAGAAGTAAATTTGAGGTTTTCTGTGCCCTTAAATTTCAAACCCCAAAAAAGAAAATCCTTTTCTAGCCGTGCGTCTGGCTCGGTCCGTGGAGCCACATCAAGTGTCACTTTGTTCGCTGATGCGAGTGCACCGCTCTGGTGTCGAGCTCGAAACAACCAAATTCGCATACTACGCTATGGCGAGGCAGGGGTGACCGGGTTTGGTTGATTGTGAGGGTGATGCTCACTTGGGACAAAAAGCAAGCACCGGTCAGATGTTGGAATGCCATCGCAGCTTTCTTTGAATTGGGTCACCTCGAGGACCCCGTTTGTACACACATGAAGTGCTCGTGCTGGTTCGTGCTGGTTGATTGATCTGACAATAAGGAGCTTCATTTGCAAGCACGCACGCATAGCCGGACACATCGGCGACGGCGCAGGTCAAGGGCAGTGCCTGGCCTCAGAAGGGGATACCCGGTCGCAGAAGCTGCATCACAAACATGACGTGATGACCTGGTCACGCCCCGTTGTGTCACCCGCATTGCGGTAAGTTCAACAACCACGTGCGCCACCGCCGCGCCAAAGCAGCCGCATCCGCTGAGCCCTGGGCTCTGCCTGTATGACGTCGCCCTAGGTTTGCCCTTATTACCACGGCCTTTGTTTTGGGAGGCCTTGCGGCACGATGGCTACCTAGCCCGCCAGCTGCAGTCACACGGGTGGGCCCAGTCACCACGATGGCCCAGCCGAGCAGTCACACACGATCAAACTCAGCTCAAAGTCCCTGCCCGTCGCGACGCTTCCTGCGAGCGGATGACCCACCCCGACAACGCTTCCAGGTCTGGACCTTGCCCTCACCCGTACTCCAAGTAGCCCAACAGCGGCTGCCAGCCCCTCGTTTCACCTGGTGATCTGATCAACCACCGTAGACCCCGCCGCTCCTCTGGTCCCTTCCTGGGTCGGGCAACACTTTTGTTCGGCTTCTGTTGGAGGGCGCCTCCGGCTACCTGACAGGTCGGTGTGCAATCCCTGCGCAGCGGTTGCACGTGGCCCTCATGACGACACACACCAGTGGCCCTCTCACGCTAGCCTAAATGCCAGGATCCATCTACAACGACTCTTTGCTTACCCCAATCTTGCCCGGTGAAGCAACCTGCAATCAGGACGGTGAGTCTCTCCTGGCACATCCTCAAGTTCCACCCGCTCCAGCGAGTGGTAGCCCTGTACTCATTGCGCACAACCTGCCGTGCGTGGCGCGCTTCCGTACATCTGTACATCAGTCCTCGTGATCAAACAGCACCCAGACATTGCCTTGGGTGGCCATCGACTGAGCTTTGAAGACATCTTTCACCCAGCAGTCAACCGCCCCACCCCATTTGGCCAGGCCTGCAGCATCCCCACTGCAGCCATCGTGGTGCTGCGCCATCCTCTGGATGCCATCTGGGCCGATTATCAGCGCTTTGCGTCGGGTACGTGCTATCCGCTCGATCGTGTTGGTAGGCGCAAAACTGCGCTTCGCCACTGCTGTCCATCCAACCATGCCGAGCCCTGCACCGGCCCTTGCTCAAGACACTCGGGCGTGTAGGCGGAGAGCACGTTGCCCACGTCGCGCGTCACAGTTTTGCATCGACGCACTTTGAGCGCCGCGCGCTCTTTGTCGCTCGCAAGTGGGCCAATGCTTGGAATCAGCACTTTGCCCGACTGTGTGAGAGGTACTTAAGCCTCCAGAGCAGCATGGATGCGCGCTTGCTTTGCTTACTCTTTGATATCCTTCTCGCCATTTCTCATGTCGACACTGACCAGGGACAACACAGAGCATTGCCTTCTGATACGCTTTGAAGATTTGCTCCAGCCAGCAACGAAGCGAGAAGTTTTGCAACGGTAGGATCAAAGAGAATTCGCGCCTTCATCAGCGACTCGGTCGGATCCCTTTCATGTTGTGCTGTGGATCTTGGCCCTCGACAGTGCGCTGTTGTTTCTGGGCGTGACCGTGCGCACGTCCGATCTGGACTGCGGCTTTGCGCTGGCAGAGGATCCTCGCATTCACCGCGGCAATGTTCACCAACTTGATGCTCATCAACGTAAGCCTGTGCAGGACGCGCAAGCACCATCGTACAACGCAGTCTGAACCTGTCGTGTCACGGCCTAGATGAGACCATAAGCAAGGAGGAAGCCTACGGAACTGAACTTCAGTGTCGTGTTTGGGCCATTGTTGCCACTGTGGCCCTTAAAGTGGGCTACCCGGCCCCAGAGGCCTGTCGCACTTGATGCAATGATCGGTACCAGGTGCATGGCGGTACCTCTCGCAGGTGGCTTGCCGTCACGATCACAATCAATTGATCACAATCCATTCGACTCGACTTTTCATAAGATGCCAGGTATGTGTTACTGCAAAACAGCAGCAGGGATCGATTATTAAGAAATGGGTTGAAGCTAAAAGTACACAGAGTTGAACAAGGTGGGTCGCCCATTCATCAGACAACGAGGGTAAAGACGCGTGTCCTGACTTTGTCCGGACGAAATTATAAGGGAAAATCAAACACTCAAATGCGCAACAATGAGGCATGGGCCAAACGGGCGTCATTCATAGGTCTTCCAGCAGCAAGCTGGTTACTCGCGTGCCACGCTTGCGTGAAACCGGTGAACCTGACTTGCGGCGTCGTGGCGGTCCGTCGGCCCCTGCTGCTGCTTTGCGAAACTGTGATGGCGACACGAATTCGCCCGTCGTCAGCGTGGAAATGAGTTGTTCCAGGTTGGCCGAATGTGCATCTTGAATGGTGCCGGCGGGTCCAGTTGAGCTGGACATGGCATGCTGGTGTGCGGCGGCCTCTTCAGCCTTCCGTTGCTCTTCCTCCTCGCGCTTTTCAATCTTTCGCAGCTCCACCCGGCTCTGTTGCAAACGTTCAAGCAGGGTGCGGAACACGCCAAAGAATTCTTCGGTGCTAGGCTTGGCGGCATCGTACACAAATTGCTTGCAGGCCCGCGTAAATGCAGCATTCATCTTGTCCAGGTGTACTAAGAGCTGCTCCACCTGCAACCCGACACAACAAGAAAGACGAGGCATGCATGCAAATCAGAGGCCCTTTGATTCTGTCATCTTTGCACAAAGACGTTCCATCCCAGCAACCTTCTTTCACGTACCTGAGACGCAGCCCGGTGCTCAAAGGCGCTGACAACATCGATAAATTCGTCATCATCGGCAGACTCGTCACGATTACGATGCCATTGCAGCTCACGCTGCAAGAGCTCCATTCCCGACTTCATGGCCTGACAGTCAATGACCAACTGTGCAATGTTGACACGTGCTGCACTGCCAACGCTTGACAGCTGTGTGTCCAACTCGCGCGCTTCAGCAAAGGCGTTCTACAAAGCGGGACATGGGCCCACACACGAACATTCCATTCCATGCGCCAGCAAAGTGGATACTGCTATTAGTTTTCTGAGAGACCCAAGAAGCTCGAAGAACTGCTCAACTGGTCAAGTCCTCATGACCAGACGCCGGTGCCTCACGGTTGTACAAACCTGAGTATCAATGCAGTGCACGGCGTAATGCATTAGGTTGTAATCTCGCCGACTGGTGGAGCGCGTATCCGCCAGCTTGAGCAAGCTATCCAGCTTAAATGCGTGCGCTTTGCCCCGTGCCCCTCGATTCATGTAATTGCCCAGTGCTACGAATGCAGTGTCAAATCAATCCTCATGAGACGCATGGGCTGTTTCAACATCAAAACCATATAAGCCAAGTCAACCCCTGGGACAGGCAGCAACTCCTTACCCAGCCAGAGGGCCAAGATGCTTTCCAAGCCTTTGCTGGCCACCACCTGTTGCGAAGCCTGCTGCACAGCTTCAATCTCAGGCTGCAACGAATCGATGCGCTCATGGTAGCGCCGAATGTAAGCCAGACACTTGAGGCGCTGCTCATAGCGCGGCACGCGATGCATTTCCCACAAGAAGCGATCGGCCTGCGCAAACATAAACGCCTTGTCTTGAAAGGGTGTCAGCTGAGCAATCTCCTCAGATGTGGGAATGTATTTGAGCATTTGCTCTACTAGATCCGTCGAAATGCGCTGCTCCGCATCCATGGACATGACCACATGGCGCAAGGCTTGAGGACTCATTTTCAGCCGTGTCAGGAGAATAGAGCAATTTTGAGCGCGGCGACCATCCACGAGCGAAATCTCCTTGGGCTTGCGCTCCTCCTTGCCTCCTCCCTTGTCGCCATCTTGCGTGGACGAGAGAGGCTGGCATTGACCCCCAGAAAAACGGGCCCAGAGAGGTTACCATGCATACGAAAGGAGAAACGACCATTGAGCCCATTACGCACCAAACTCCATGGATATTCCAATGCGAGATCACACACACACACACACACACACATGGACCTGTCTTCAGGCGCACACAAGCATGGATCAAACAAAACTGGCTGCGCCGGGCCTACCTGAGCCGCAGCAAACATTTCCTCAAAGGCTGGAAGATCGAGACTCTGGTACACGGGATCAGTGTCAATCTGCGTCCACACTGAACTGCGCAGGCGATGCGTGGGGATTTTCACCCAGTTGAATGACTTGAGCTGCTTGTTAGCCACTGGCGTCACGTGCGTTGGCAGTGAAAAGGCAGCAGGTTGTGGTGCCGACATTCCAGGCATGGGTGGCGGCGGGGGCGCGCCTGATGAACCCGGCATTCCAGGCATGGGAGGCGGGGGTGGTGGTGCCGGAGGCTTGGCTATTAAGATAGAAATGCAAGCGTGAGTGAGAATGGGCAAGCTTGGCGGTGTCAAGTACCAATGCACTTCAAAGCATGGCGGCTCTCACCCGCAGCAATGCTTGGCAGAGCCTGTGGTGAGGACGTGTCTCCCATTGACGGTAGTGGTGGCGGTGGGGGAGGTGGAACGGCCATGGCTACGTTGTTCTTGGCGCCACTGTCCAGCAGACAGCCAGAACCTGAAGTGTTGACTGAGTCGGTCAGTGATACGCGACGTGCTGCCTGGAACGCTTCTTGCGCCGCAGCATGTTGCTGCTTCAAGGCCTCGATGCTGGCGTGCAGTTGTCGAATTTGCGCCTCAAAGGCGGCATTTTTCTCACGTGAGGTGCAAAGCTGTGCTTCGAGGTCGGTAACTTGGCTCTCGGTGGCTGCGAGGCGAGCTGAGAGTTTCTTCTTGGCTGCGCGCTCGTCGTCAATCTCCTGCCGCAGGTTGGTGATGCGACGGTTGAGCTGCTTTTTCAATTCAATGGCCTCTGTCTCGGCCTCGTGCGCTTTGTCCTCGGCCTTTTTGCTGCGCAGGGCAAACTGCTCCCGCTCTTGAACAGCACGATCGCGCTCGAGCGTGGCCGCCTCAACGGTATCCGAATTGACGTAGTGCGCAATGACCTCGTCACGGTGAAAGTCAAGGGGAGCACGATCCAGATCAACGCCATTGTCACGCAGGGCCAATTGCTCCGCCGCCGTGGCCAAATAACGCAATTGGTACGCGGCTTGGTCCAAGACAGCCTCATCGGTGCCTTGGGCCAGCAACAGCAGATGCGCCAGCAGAGTGTTGAAGGGCGCGCTGGCCGGGGTTCGTTTGAAACGGTCGTTCAGCACGGCAACAATGGACATGTTGTCATACACACTGAGTTGCGCCTGTGGCTGAGCTTTGAATTGGGCAGTGAGCTCAGCCTCGTCATCGGCAGCCACATCGGCATAGATTTGCACGTGTTTCTGCAGAACATCGTGTTCGGTGTAGTTGGTCAACTGCTTCATGACGCGCCGCAGGCCGTGACGCTCGAGCTCGTGCCGAAGATGCACGCGGAAGCGGAGACTGGCTCGGCCAGCACCGCAACAGATGAGGGCATTGACCAAGGACAAAACCTTGAGCTTGACCTCGACGTCGACGGCCGTTCGTAGGCTCTTGCAGGCTAGAAGCTGCAGTATGGTTTGGAAGCGATAGACCTCACCGCCATAGCTCTGAAAGTGGGTCAGCGCATCCAGCACCTAGCGTAACATAATGCAGAACAGACAAATGCGTCGCTGAGCCGTGGTGTTCCCCGTACACTGTTCTCGTATCCGAGATGAAATCTTTTAATCGACCGTTTGTAGCTGCGAAACATCTGCGGTACGTGAGCCGGGGTGGTTACAAACCTTGCGATGACCTTCGGGGATCAGAGAAACGGCACCCAGCATTTGCACGATTTGCAGGCGCATGTGAAGCTCCGGAACCAGCAAGGATTGAACAATGACCTGTTGGAGTGAACAATGCACCGCAACCTCACTGTGAGAGGTCTGTACGCGTGTGTTCGAAGGAGAGAATGTGGCAGTCGACCAGGCATGATGACAAGGGGGTGGGGGCAAGGGCGCAAGACCTTGAGAGCGTTGGGATGGGAGAGCACGGCCTTGAAACCATGCTCGTTATTCATGAGGGCGGCGACGCCGCGAATCAGAAGCTGATGCTCCTTAACGTCACTACCAAGTCCAGGCCAAAATTTGGGTGCGAAAGAACGAGATTCAGAGCAGGTGGGATTCAAAAGCATGGCCACCAGATGAGAAAGGACAAAGGCTCGTTTTCACAGAGATGTATGGCCTGGCTCGATCACACATGTCTTCGGCAAGCAGCCTAGCGCATGCAGTGTGGACAGGCCGCAAGTACCGCGCTCCCATCGCTACCAAAACACACCTGCCATCTGGCGAGAGGCAAGCCAAAAGGTCTAGCAGGAAGGTGAGGCCCTGCATATCAACAAATCGGTGAACGTAGGCGAGCGGCTTGGTGCGCAGGGCCACGGCCAAGACATCAAGCAGCTCCAGGCGCTTCATCGTGTTGGCCTCAACATCCTCCTCCAGTGTCTCTCGAAGCGCTAGCAAGAGCTCGGCGGCATCTTGCAGCGGGTCGTCTTCCTGCACAGCTGGGCATGCCGATGCGCGATGATTGCAGACGAGCTCCCATTGCTCCTCCAAGGGGCGGGCCAGAAACATGGCCTGGGAGGCTGGCGCTATGTTGAGCTCGCGGAAGGTGGCTTTGAGCTGGCGTTGCACCTCGGCCGCCTCGGGCATGGTGTCGGTGACATTGTTATCGACCCCAAGTCGATTGCTCTCGACAACCGTGATCTGCGGGATTGCGCCAAGGACCATGAGTCGAACCAAGCGGCATGATTGCGGGGGTGATTAGCAGGACCGTTGCTTATGGAGGTGCGAAGCTTTGCTTTGTTTTTGTTTTGTTTTGTTTTTGGGTTTTGCTATCTACGTGGTCCATGTCGCGGGAAACCATCGAGGCTGACACTCCGCTCCCCTTCCTGTTGCACATCCACGGCCAAAAACATCACCGCCAGCCACTCCCCCGTACCTCGGGCCGACTGGCTTTAGGCACGCGACTTTTCTTGCGACCCATTGTAGAGGTAGCGCTGCGGTCAGGCGCGAGACGCACGGAATCTGGCCTCCCAAACCAGAACTGCCCAGGTCTAGAGCAATTGCGCCTGGCGACAAGCGGGTAAGCAGCACCACGGCCGGCCAAACTTCTTAAGCACACTGGCGCACAATAAATTGGCCGGTGTGCGGACCCATGTAGAAGCGAGGAGATGCAGCGAGGAGATGCAGCGAGATGAGAAAGGGCCCAAGCGTGCTAGGGGCACCCAATGCTGAAGAAGCGTCCCAGTCTCCAAGGAAGCGATTCGTGCGCACGGGCTGGGACGAGCTGGGGGTTGACCCACCTGAGTCTCGACGGTTCAGCTACCACAACAATACGACACTCAGTCAGAGCCGACGTCTTCCTCCTGTGCTCCTTTCATCTCCTATAAAGGAGCACACAAACCCGTGCTTCCTCTCGTGCGTCCGCGCGAAGCGGACACGAGCGGACACACCAATGGCTGCCATCGTCCAACGAGAAAAAAAATGATTCGTTCGTCAGCTTTTGCGCATATTGTCAGATTTTGGAGAGAGAAGGAAGGCAGCTTCTTGAGCCGCTGCTGCTGTGTCGCGGGTGAAGGCTGATGATGCCAAGCTCTTCAAGCTCTTGGTGGGCTTCTGGTGTCTTTGAGATTGTGGATTTCAAACATCGTTTAAGCTAAGCTCGTCTCAACAGATCCCTACGTCTGCAAAAATTGCCCCGAAACGCAATTATTGCGAAACGACCGACTAGTCATTCAACTCGACTGTCTCGGCAGGAGATGGGCGACTCAACAGGGCAAAACAGGTCGGGCAGTTATGAAGCGCCTCATGCAAAAAGGCATCGCAGCGATAGCAGAACACGGCTTGACAACGAGGGCACTCGTAACATTCGCCTGCCTGGAACAAGCGGCAACAGGGCGTGAGTCTTTCACATCGCTGTGCCTGCTGTGCCTGCTTACAGAGCATTTCGACCAAGCACAGCTGTGGCCCAGCAGGCGAGAATGGGGTAGCATCGATCAGACATCTGACCAACCTTGTCGGTGGGCATCTGGTCCTGGCATCCGGCACAGGATCGCCAGACAGGTTCGGCCTGTAGTTTGACGCGCAGCGTCTTGGGAGCACCATCATCGGGCTCAACGGGGCCTGTTTGGCTGGAAGCAACTGACGGTTGCGTCGTTTCCCTGGCAGTGGGGAGAAGTTCTCGGTAGACAGGCATGGCAAATAAATGATGGAAAGTTCGTGCCAGGTGTGGAGACAGCACAAGCAAGAGCTTGCATGTTCCACACTCGACGGGGAGCTCGGGTTCCAGTCGATGGCAGCGAGGGCATCGATAGCGTCCCTTGAGCGAGTAACTACGTTCGAAAATACCAAAGGAAGAGAGGGTGTGAGGTCATCAGATGGAAAAGGTGAAGGCATGGCACCACAAAGGCCCCGCGGCCGCGATGGGGCGAGCCAACAGTCGCAAACCTGTTGGCTTCAACGTCTACCACGGGGACCCGCACATAGGAGGGAAAGCCCATCTTCACAAGCGCTGCTTGACTATCGGCGCTAGCCACTGGCGGCACTGTATGCTCCAACATCATGTCCAAAAAATGCTTTTCATCCAGCACCACGCCATATGTCCCTGTGTTCATGAATGCATGAGGTTGCAGTGATTGGAACGCTTAGAGACCTGCACAGAGAAGAGAGCAAGATATGGGGTGATTGGAAGAGAGCGTATACACACCGCCAGTCTCCTCGCAGATGGTTGCGTGCAACTTGACGGCCGCTGCCAGCGAAATCATGTTGATTTGCACCTTGTCGCGTTTGACATCCTAGGCTCGGGCGCACCAGATGAGCACGGATCAGCCACCCGGCCAAGCTACGGCATTCACGTGCATAGAAAACGCCCTCGCTAAACTTGCTAGATGAAAGTTGAACTAACGTTGATCGTTTCGAAAATGTCGCCGGGATCAATCGATGTCAGGCTGGCCGTAATGATAATGACCTCGCGTGTGGAGTGCGTTGGCATGACACTATGCACGCACGGGCACAGTCAGTCAAAGGGGTGCGGCCTTCCTGTGAAGAACCTACCGCAGACGTGCTCAAACCACGTGGTCAACAAACCACTCAAACTTACCTGAGCAGTTTGGCACAGGCAGTCAATGTATTCTGAAGCGACACCTTGCCTTTCGGGAAATACTGCGGCCGCGTAGGGTCTGCATCACCCTTCGTCGCGTCGTCGACCTCTGCTACTTTGCGCAGCGCGCGCAACTATTAGCCAAGCCACCGCCATACCAGGAAAAGATTGAGGTGAGGCTACGCTACGATGAGGAAAGAGAGCTGACCATGTGCACATCCCTCGCTCATGATGCGGGCTGGCCCAATGGTGACACAGTGGCCCATGGCGCTGGCTAAGGTGGACGCACGTGTTTGGATGGATTGCCGCTGAGCTCAGTCTCAAGCCGACAAACTCCCTCGCGCATGACGAGGAATCCCAGATGACTGATTGGATTCTGATCAAAGAAGACCTCAACGAATTGCTTGCACGTATCGACAGCACAATCCACTCGGCTGGGTCTAATGCAGAAAAGTCGTCTCTCGTCAAGGCACAAGAGCACAAATGCATTGGTTCCAATTCTCATGCTGTGGTCGAGCACCAAGACAAGAGAATCCGCACGTACTGCAAATCATCCCCTTCCATGTCCTTGGATAAATCCAGCACAAGCAACACATGTCGCATCTGACCACACACATTGAAGTCGGATCAGTGAGACGAGCTGTCCTCCATTGACAGGCTACGCAGCGTCGAGGCACATACCATGCCACGTTTCACGTTGGCTGCTTGATGTTGACGCTTGCGGCGTTGGAGTCGCCGCTCCTCATTGACAATCTTGTCCACCAAGATTGTGCCATCCTTGCGCTCCTGCACCGCCTCCCAGGTCGCATCCACGCCTAGAACCGGTGATCCACGCACAGCGTGTCGCCGCGGCGCAGGCGATTGACCAATTGAGCCATGAAAGAAGATGCACGCAGCCAGCTTTACTGTGACCCACCATGCTCCCAAGCCCGCTCCGTTTCCTCGTCCATGATGATGGCGATCAACGACGACGGGTTAACGACCGGCCCAGCCCCGACAAGTCGTAAGGAAAGAAAAAAAAAAAAAAAAGTGAAAACTCAAAATCAGTCGCCTGCATAACTGCTGACATCCATTTTTTCCATTCCATTTTTCCAACAGATACATCCATCACATCAGTGAATTTGTGGATTTTTGTGGATTTATGGTTTTATGCCTTGGTTGTTTTGACATGAACATTGAGGGCAGCGGGAACAGAACCTCTACTGCTTGCGTGATGAGGCATGCTGTCGATAGCTCGGCATACTCAATTCTACCATGTATGTGCGCTATTATATAAGGACAGGTTGTCCAACCAAAAGTAGCCGCGATGCACAAAATACTCAAATGCTGCTTGATGTCACAGGCCTGAGTTCAGGACACACTCGTGTGTTCAACAATGACCATCGACAATCAGCACATGCTTCTTTAAAGAAGTAAAAAACAAACTATCATACTAAATGTTGGGCATGACCCGCTCGGCGGGTTCCATTGCCAGCATGGCTTGGTAGCAGGCGTGCACGCGGGCCCAAACCTTCTTCTGAAGCTCAGACGACAAGGTTGTGCCACCGCAAAAGAGCTGAGCTTGTGCCAGCCCTTGATGCAGCAACATGTCGATGCCGTGCGCAACCCGACAGCCCGCTGCCTCGGCCTGCAGGATAAGGGCGGTCTTGTAGGGGATGTAGGCTGCGTCCAGGACCACAGGCCGGCTAAAAGAGAAAGAAACAAAAAAGATGATGTTACACGAGTGAGCACAGTGATCGGCGTCATGAAAAAAAGAAGAGGGTGGACACTGAAAAGAAGATTGACAAAAAGCAGACGATGCTTGAGACATCAAAAGGACAAGAAGAAAATTTGGCTGGGCGCCCATCGCGAGGGCATGCAACGCCGAGCGATATTGGTGGCCGAGCCTGGAATTTTGTTGTAGCAGACCGCTAATACGGTATCAGCACTTGTTATCAAACAGCTGATCCGTGAATGAGATGGCTGCAGAATGTGTACAGCAAACTGGTGGACACACGACGAGGAGGAAAAGAGCGGAAAGTACAACGGAATGGAAACGAAAAAAAAAAAAATGAAAAAAAACCACTCGCAAAACATACGGCCAAAGGCGAACAAAACGACCGTAAACACAGTGTACGAGACACAAACACAATGACCCACCTTGCGGTCAGCAACACTTCGGGCACCGTCAAATTGGCGGTCGCAGCCACAGTGCTAACGACGATATCATAAGTATATGCCGTGCTTGCCATCAAGTCGGCAGCATGCTCCACGCGAAACTGCTCTGCCAGAGCCAGCGCCCGCTCAGCGGTGCGGTTCACCACCACAATTCGGTGGCAGCCAAGCTGTTGCAAAGCGTACACAGCTGCACGAGCCGTGCCCCCGGCACCCAAGACTAGGGCAGCACGAGGTGCTGATGGCGCTCCTGCGTCCCGTAGCGCAGCCAAGATGCCCAGGTAGTCTGTGTTAAAGCCATGTAACTGTCCCTGGCTGTCTTTGACAATAGTGTTGACAGCACCAATGACGCGCCCTGGCACGTCGACATCGACCAACACATGACCCAATCGCTCCTTGAGAGGCATCGTGACGCTCCCGCCACCACAGTTCGTGCCCTGCAGACAGGTGATGGCGTCAAGCGCATTGCTGGTTGAGCAGCGTTGGTAGGTGTAAGGTAACTTGAGGTCTGCAAACACAGTGTTATGCATCAGTGGACTGGCAGAGAGCGCTATCGGCTCGCCAAACAAAAAGAAGTTGCGCTTCGGGAACAGCCCGAGCTCCGCACGCATGTCGTCAAGCTGCTGCGCCGTCAGCTGGCCGGGCGCTGCCGCCGTGGTGAGAAGACGATGCGTCACTGGCGTGAGCTGGTCATTGAGCACTCGCGTCAGCTTGCCCGCCTGTCCCATGGCCATCACAATGGCCGGGCGCGATAGCGTGCCGCGCAACACCCGATACGCCTCCACGAGCGCCAACGCATCACCGGGCGTGTCGGCAGTAAAAATGACCTTGAGCAAGTCGGCACGTCCGCCAAGTGCACAGTTATGCAAAGCCGCCGTCAGTTCCTGGGCCCCACCACAAGGGCGCAAGAAGTGCAGTGAACCCAGCAGGGTGGTGCTTGCAGGTACCAAGCGCGTGAGCTGGCGCAGCTCGTCGCTGGGCAGGTCAGCCTCAACATCCACAATCTCGCACCCGAGGCGGATGCCAACGCGTAGCAGCGCGGCGTACTTGGCCGGGGAGCCTGCGTAGCGCCCACCTTGAGGCTCTGTGCGAACGGTGAAAATGATGGGACTCTTGGTCGCGGACCGGATTGCGGCCACCTGCGTCGCGATGTAGTCTTCTGTAAGGGAGGCCAATAAATCAACCCGCAGCTCCACGGCCTGAGCATTGGCCACGATTTCCGCCAATTGTGCCGCGGGCACGGCACGCACATCTGGCTGCGTTAAGCACACAAACTTGGAGTAAACCCAAGCAGGTACGCGCGGGCTCAGTCCAGTCGCCAGGGCACAGAGGCGCCCAAAGTGCTGCTTCCAACACAACAGATCCGTGGCTCCCTCGGCCACTGGAAAGCGCCAGTCGGCGCACGCGGCAAAGCGAGGCTGACGCCGAGCGTACACCTCCGCCACTTCCTCCAGATAAGCAGGACGAACGCCGTCGGCAGCCAGGTAGCGTTCGATGTCCACCAACGGGCGGTCAAGCCAGATGATGGGCAGTTTTGTGGCCTGGAGAACGGCACAATTGGCCTCGCGCTCCACAATACCACCCCCACAAGCAATTACCGCGCCAGTCGGATGTGCTCGCAAAGTGTCGGCCAGCACCCGCTCCTCGGCATCTCGAAAGGCGGGCCAGCCCTGCTGCTCAACAAAGGTCTTGATGCCCCCTTCACATCGCTCCTCCAGCACCACATCCAGATCCAAGAACTGATAACCCAGATGGGCGGCCGCAGCCCGCGCAAGCGTGGACTTGCCTGCCCCGCGCATGCCAATAATGCAGACGCTCTGTCGGTCACGAGCACCGGCGTGTCCTGCGCTGCCCGCCGCTGCGGAAGTCTGTTCCTCAATGGACGCGTGCAAGACGGCGTTGCGATGACCCTGCAGGTTGCAGACATCGTCCCAGAAGCTGGGGTACGTCTTGTCGGTACAATCCTTGTCAGTGATTTGCACGTTGGGCCAGAGACAACCCAGCACGCCAAAACTCATCGCAATTCGGTGATCGCGATAGCATTCCACGGGTACGCCACGCTTGAGTGAAGCAGGCGAATCGGCGCCCTGGCCGAAAATGGCAAGGCCTGTCTCGAGTTCCTCGCAGTGCACGCCACATTTGCCCAGTTCAGTAAGCATGGCGGTGATGCGGTTGCATTCCTTCACGCGTTGGTTGGCAATGTTGGTGATAGTGCTTCGCGAGCCCTTGGGGCAAGTAGCCATCAGTACGGCGGCAGTCATGAAGGTGTCCGTGATGTCTCCCATGTCCACGTCCACGGGCTGCAACGTGCCGGGCACGCAGCCAACCACGGTAGTTGCATCGCTCGTTTGTTCCACCTCGCAACCCATGCGCTCCAGCACGCGACAAAAGGCAGCATCACCTTGCAAGCTCCCAGACCCCATGGCTGCGACGGTCACGCGTCCTCCAGAGATGGCCGCCATAGCCAGGGGATAACTGGCGGAGGAGGCATCTGACTCTACGTCAAAGGTCTACATGAAGTAGGAATGGGCACGAGGTTCATTGGTGAGGCGTGAGGCATCAACAATAGCATAGTGATTGTAAAAGTGCGCCCGACGTACGTCCGGAAGTTGGTAGCCGGTGTTGGGGATAACGTAGCGACTGCCGCTGTGTGCCTCGACATCAACGCCAAACTGCTTCATGAGCGCGACAGTCATGTCGATATAAGGCTGTGACACAACCTCGCCCACCAGCTCTAAAGTGACGGGCGCCTGGGCGTAAGGGGCTGCCAAGAGGATGGACGACACGTATTGGCTGGAGACGGTTGCAGCCAGCTGAATGGTGCCACCTGGCAACCCGGTACCATGCACGCGCAACGGCGGATACCCCTCTTGATCCAGATAGTCAATCGCACAATCCACTGCGCGCAGAGCCTCGACCAAATCCCCAATGGGGCGTTCGTGCATACGCTTGACGCCGGTCACCAGACTGTGACCGCTGGATGCCAAACAACAAGCTGACGTGAGGAAGCGCGATGCCGTCCCCGCATTTGCCAAGAAGAGCTACTCAAGCAAGAGGCGGTACGTGGTGAGACAGTGTAATATTGGCGAGCATGACAAACCAGAGCCGGGGGATTATGTGTGTACAGAAACGCCTGTTATGGGTACAAACCGCATTGTCGCCGGCAGCCTGGAGCTTGCCATCACAGCCTTGGATCAAGAGCACGTGGCCGTTGTCCTCGAATTCGATTCGTACACCGAGCTTGCGAAGCGCGGCAATCATAACTTTTGTGTCGTCCGAGTGCAAAAGACCACGGAGTCGGCAAACGCCCCGACCGAGGGCGGCCATCAGGAGGACACGGTTTGAAATGGACTTGGAGCCCGGCACTCGAATCGTGCCGGCAATGGGCCTGCGGCGGGTGGATGCAAGCAGAGTTGGTGACAACATGCAGCAAAGCGTTTGGAGAAGGCGAGAGATAGGTGGTTATGTAGCGATTGTCACAAACAACGACCGACAAGATCACTACACTAACCCATGGGGCACCACTTCCACGGCAGGTGCCATGATACGGAGGAGTAGGTCGTCCTCTACGGGCTCGGCCCCCTGTCCAGCGTCACCAATGGCGCGAAGGAAGACGATGTGCTTGCGACCACGTTCGTTCTTCTTGTCCACAGCCATTTTGTGCAGCACATCGTTGTGACTCACACCAGTTGGGATGGTTGTGGGCAAGTGGTAAGCCTGGGCACAGGGGATCGGAGTAATCTCAATCAGCACAGGTGGTCGGCGTTCCTCAAGGACCAGAGTGTGTGCGGCTTTCCAGGCAACACGACAAACCTGACAGCAGCTCAGGAGGCGGTTCAAGGCGTCCGGTGAGAGAATGCCGCGCGCGCGAGCCACCTCCGTCTCCTTGATCATGCCCACTGCCACGCACTCGCCATGCAACCAGTGCCCTGAATAGCAAATGGATCGTGGTGGGGGACGATGAAGAAATGAGGGGCGAGCGAATATCGATTTGACGCTGTCACGCGGCGCCTTTGCGCGAAAAAATAAAACTGACCAGTTAGGAGGGCTTCGATACCATGGCCGATGGAGTGACCAAAGTTGAGGATGGCACGGAGGCCAGCTTCCTTTTCGTCCTGCAGCACAACTGTAACTTTGACGCGAACGGCAGCCAGCACCATCTGGGTCAAAAGATCGGGATCTAGGGCGCGAATTTGCTCGGATTGCAGCTCAAGAAGCTGAAAGAGGGCAGCATCATAGATGGCGCCGGCTTTGATAACCTCGGCCATGCCGTTGTTGAATTCACGCTCGGGCAAGGTGCTCAGGAAAGCCAAGTCGGCGTAGACGCGCTTAGGTCGGTGAAAGGCGCCAACGAGGTTTTTGCCCGCGGGCGTGTCAATGCCTGTCTTGCCGCCGATGGAGGAGTCGACCATGGCCAACAAGGTGGTGGGCACCTGGACAAAGTTGATGCCGCGCATGAAGGTGGCGGCCACAAACCCGGCCAAATCACCCACAACACCGCCACCCAAGGCTACGATGCAAGATTTGCGGTCAAAGCCGCGCGCCAGCATCCAGTCCTCAAGGGCACGTTTGGTCTCACGCGACTTGCTGGCTTCACCAGGCGCGACGGCATAGAGCAGGGCCTAGCCAAGAACCACACAGTGAGAGACGGGGAGCAGATGCTTTTGAGTGAGGCGGCGCAAGCCCGCAGCAGATGACGACACACGGGTCTCAACTGCTTCATCACTCGAGGCGGGATTGGCTGGTCACATGCGATGCGAGTGCTTTGCCGTACCTCGATGCCGTCGGGAAGCGCTTCATTCAAGGCGCGTAAGAGCTCATCGCCATAATGCTGCTGAACATTGAGGTCGGTAATGATAATGTACTTGGATGCTGGGACATACTTGATCAAGTCCAGCGGTAGCTGACGCCAAAATTCGTAGCCGACCACCACATTGTAACCCGTGCAGGGCACGACTGTTGCCTTTTCCATGGCTGGAAGGACGCCTGAACCGAGATTGGCTGGTCGAGTAAAGGCCTGCCGTACCCCCTCGAGAGCTGGCGGGCAACCGACCAATCAAGGACGCACTGCGTGCAGCAAGAACAGGCTTGGATCGGTGTGCCAAGCGAAAAGAAAAAAAAGCGGTGCAACCGCCGCAAGTGCGGAAAAAAAAAATGGAGCCGCTGCCAGCAGCCGACGGGCGCCCCTCCACTTCAGAGCCGCGGCGTCTTCTTGTTCCGAGTCGGTCCAGTAAACTTTGAACCAAAGTCGACAAGTTTTTATGGACCCAGGCATTCAAAATTATCGGCATCACCTCAAAGGAAACAACAAAAACAAAACACCGACTTGATTTGTCGACAAATTGTGCCATTTTCCCGCGCTTTTCCAAGGTATCGTGTTATCATCATCACCATCACCATCATCTCGTGCAGTCGTGTGGTTGCGGAGCAAGTTATCGCAAGGGGGAGGGGGAGGGGAAGAGCTGGGCTGATCAGGTCTGGCGGCGTGGTGTGCAGCTGTTGAAGTAAGGAAATGAACTTGATGGTTCTGGGAACCAATGGTGTTTAGAATCAGCTGTGATTCGACGTGAGACTCGACAACACAATTGCGCTTGCCTGTCTGCCAAAAATTCACTTTGAGGATTGTTGTTTCCGTTCTCCTGCTTCTTTGAAGGCCCGGCATCATGAGCACCTTTGGCACCTATTTCCGGGTCACCACCTTTGGTGAATCCCATTGCAAGGGAGTCGGCGCCATTGTGGATGGGTAAGCACCGCGCATTCGGCGTTTGAGGCAAACCTCCGCCCGCTCCTCGCCCCGCGCGCGCCCGGCCTCAAACTGTGCCTCTCTTACAACCCTCACGTCCGTGGATATGATCAGAGTACCTCCACGTCTGGCGCTGACGGAAGAGGACGTCCAGCCACAGCTGACGCGCCGCCGTCCAGGACAATCAAAGCTGACAACGCCTCGCAATGAGAGTGATCGGGTTACCATCATGTCTGGCACTGAATTTGGCCGCACTCTCGGGACGCCCATCGGGCTTTTTGTCCCGAATCAAGACCAGCGGCCCAAGGATTACGGGTCAACTTCCCATGCCCCCCGCCCCTCGCACGCTGACTTCACCTACATGAGCAAATATGGCACCCATGCCTCCAGCGGAGGTGGCCGGTCCTCGGCTCGTGAAACGGTATGTTATGCACAACAGCTCTGCATCAAGCCAGACCACGGCACGCCATGCCCTCCCCCTCCTCACAGCTGCTGCTTTTGGGTCTCTCCCATTTTGTGGCCTTTGGTATCCATCTAGATTGGTCGCGTCGCCGGTGGAGCAATTGCTGAAAAGTGGCTCCGAGAGGCTTTTGGCATTGAAATTGTGGCTTGGGTATCGGCTGTGGGCTCAGAAACAGAGTCGGACGTCGACGTCGACACCATTACCCGCGAACAGGTTCGAGCTGGCACAAACTCTGCTCATGCCCAACACCCTAATAGGCTCCCTTGCCACCCTGACGGCACTTTTTTTGTTTGCAACGACATGCGCCCCTTCTGCCCAAACAATGCTTTTCGCAGGTTGACGAGCATCTACCAGTGCGGAGTGGCACCGCCGAAGCTGTGGAGCGCTTCAGCAATGTCATCAAGGATTGCAAAGCCAAGCAAGATTCCACGGGTGGCGTTGTTTCGTGTGTCTGTCGCAATGTCCCAGCCGGTTGGGGTGAGCCGTGCTTTGATAAGCTTGAAGCCAAATTGGCGCACGCCATGATGTCCATCCCAGCCACCAAGGTGCGTGGCTGCGTCCACGTCCGTTGGCATGTCTGCCCATGCTCACTCTGTGCTGCATCCTCCCACGCGAACAATGCCTAACATGCGCGTTTTGCAATGGACATTGCCTCAGGGGTTTGAGGTTGGGTCCGGGTTTAGTGGAACCAGGATGCGTGGATCGACACACAATGATCTCTTTGTCAAAAAGGGAGATGGCCTAGGCACTGCCACCAACAACTCGGGTGGCATCCAGGGCGGCATTTCCAACGGCGAAAATATCGTCTTTCGCATCGCCTTCAAGCCTCCCGCCACCATTGGCCAGCAGCAACAGTCGGTCAATTTCCAAGGCGAGGATGATGTCGTGGCCGCCAAAGGCCGTCATGATCCTTGCGTCGTACCTCGAGCCATTCCCATTGTGGAGGCAATGGCTGCTCTCGTTCTCGCAGATCTAGCGCTGGCTCAGCTTGCGCGCCGCTCTGCTGGTGACCTCGCCACCCCTGTGGTGGGGGGCGACAATGACGAGCGCTGGGCTCAGGAACATCGCCTGCGCTTGGAACTTGAGCAGCGCCTCCGCCGCGTGGAGGCGCGACCACTTGTCCCTGCATCTAGTCCATCAGCATGGACCATCGGAGTGGGGGCCGCAGCGGTGGGTGCAGCTTTGGCTTGGGCTGTTATACACCGCGTCCACCAATAAGCGGCCAGATGTTCTTGTCTGGGCTTGACCTGGTTTCGCCAGATATCCGCTGAACGTAATTGACTCTCTTCTGTCATCCGACAAAGTCTCCTTGAGTCGCGATCATGAGCGCATTGAGACTGCCGTGAGCTTAGCCAGGAGCCTTGCGTTGGCCCGTGTGCTTGACACGAAGGCACCACGCTGGATCCATCTCAAACCCATCCCCTCAATTTGTGATGGCGCAACGCCCTGGTCATATTACCACAGAACGCTTGCTTTTCCAGAAAAAAAAAACCCAAAGATAAAATTGAATGCCATTCAGCATTGCCAATGCCATCATCACAAGTTTATGCCCATCTATATTCGCATTCCCAGACCTATCCACAGACCCTCTCTTGCTGTGGCACGGTAGTGTGCAGAGCGCTAGGTGCCTCACTCACTGTGTCCAGGGAAAACTGGAAATACGCAAGTTGGTGGTGCCATAGGGCACCAGGTGCAAGGTGACAACCTCGTCACCACAGGCGCCTGTCAGACTGCAGTCGACGGGAGAGGGTGGGGGCTCGTTTGCTGCATTGGACGCAGCGATCCAGCTGGCCAGTGGTCGGGCCTGCACTTGCAGTGTGCAAACGACATGCCCTGTGTCAAACGGCTTGGGGGCGAGACTGCTCTGGCAACTGTGCACGGGAGGCACCGACACGTTAACGACCCAGCTCCATGGAGCCTCGGTCACAAGATTGACGTCCGTGTTACCAAAGGGCTCCCAGGTCTTGACCACGCTACTCGAGTAGTTGAGGGGCAGAGCGTATAGCATGGGCCCGTGGTAGAAGGAAACGGCGTTTGTGCCGGGCGTAATCAGGGGCGACGGGCCCGGGGATGGAGGACTTGGGGACGAAGCCGTCGTCCACTGCACCCTCATCTCCATGGGCAGCAGGAGCTGTAGATTGCGGTCGTGGTTGTAAAACATGAGTTGTAAATATAGGGGCTCTTGGTTGTCCACGTTGAGGCTCTCGACCACCACCGTGTTGGGGGGACTGTAGGTGGAAAAGTCATCAAACGAGTAGTTGGAGAGTGGCGGAGAGCGGTAGAGCGTCTGGAGCAGCCGGCCTTGCACGTCGGTGACTTGGAGGTCAAAGGAGGCTCCGACTGCACCGTTGTCAGCCGAGTAGCCTGAGACATACTGAAAGGTAAAGTTGACGGCCGAAAGGTTGTGGCCCTGCCCAACCAGCGCGGTGGCAAAGCGAACCGTTGTGGTCTCGTTGGGATCGCCCGAACGGACGTCTGTGCGGCCCTCGAGCCGGGACTGGGCAAGTGCAGCGCCGTTGGTGAAGGAGAAGTTGCCCACATCGGCCGGGACCGCAACGCCAACGACACTGTAGTTGACGTGAGGAAGAACTTGTTCGAGTCGACCCCAGCCTTGCTCCATTTTAGTTGCGGGATTGAGATCGACCTCCACCTCACTCGAACCATTGATCACAATACGATGCAGGGTGCCATTAACCAGCATGGTTTCGGGCCCATTATCCTGTACGAGGGTGCCGTTGAGGGCCCATCCAGGAACGCGAAGCCACAGAGTGCCAGAGCCTTGAAGGCTAATCTTGGCCGTAGACTCAAAAGGGTAGTTGGTGTCAACGCTGATGAACAAACCCTGGATGGTGGTGCGGACCGGCAACAACAGCGCCAACACAGGTTCGCCCGTAACACCGTTTGTCAGAACAACGTTGTTGACCAGTTTGGGCCAGCCCTGCTGCATGTTGGCTGAGTAGTTGCACAAACGAAATAAGCCCAGCCAAGCACAAATCTCTGGCCAGAAATGAAAAGCCAGCACAGCCGAGTCGGATTGGCGTCGTACCAGTGCAGCATCCAAAGTTGGGCTCTACGCCAAATCCGGTGGCTAAAAGTGGAGGTAATATGAGACAGCAGGTCATCAACCCGCATCCGGTGAGCAAGCACAGAACAAGATGAAATATGCGGCAATTTGCAGGGAGACAGATCTGCCGAGGAACATGTTGACCGAGCACGTGCATGTGGCGGCCAGAATGTTCAACCATGTCTCAGAAGATGCATCAGCGGACGCACCGTCATCACCATCCGTAGCCCAGACATGAGGATTCGTGTCGTACATAGCATTGATCTCGTTGGCTTGTTGCAAATACTGGTGTTGCCACAAGTCATCTGTTGTAGTGCCGGGCCAAGCGTTGAAGGCAATGCGCTCGAGACGATCCATGAAATAAGGGTCGCCTTGAACTTGATAAATAATCCCGAGAGAGTACATTTGCTCAACCACGGCGCACAATTCAATGCCACGATTGAGGTGTCGACCACCAAAGCACTCATCGGCCGAGTACATGCCGTGTGGTTGGCCATGAAACCGGTCTTGCATGTCTAACTTGATATAGCTCTGCAAGGGATCACTTGCGTTGTGGGACTGGCGGCTCCACACTGCACACGACTTGGTGCCCATCTATAGGATAAGCAGGAAAAGAAAAGAAATCACGACGCCCGTGTCGTGGGGTGATCCGTGACATGAGCCCTCCGCCATGCACGATGGGCGGCACTTGTTTTGCAATTGAACGGATGGTGCCTTTTTGATAGGTGTCTGTCATTCAATGCTTTTTGTCTCTTGCAACAGGGGAAGGTGCGAACACGCCAAAGTCATTGTACCGCATTATTGACGCCATGATCCCACATGGTCCACGCAGCAACTTCAGCCTCGGGAAACCGGGGAACAGACTGCCCGACGTATGCGCCGGTTGCACCAATACCTGATGGAAAATGATAGAGGCGATGAGACATTATTGGAAGAGCAGATTCAAAACAAAGGACCAAGCCAAAATGACGCTTGACCAAAGGTGTATCTCTTGCGATGGCAGACCAGTTTGATTGTAGTAACTATCCCAGTCCCAGGACTGCTGCCATGTCAACTCGCCAAGATCCCAAAGCATTTGTTCCTGAGTTGAAAAGCAATAAGAGCATGTTGATATTGGTTCAAGGCGGTCAAAACGTACAGAGTTGCTATACCAGGTTGAGCACTCGGTTTGAGAGGCTGCAAGAGCAGGCGGAACCGCACCTGTCCCTGTGGATCTTGATCAAGCGCCCAGTGGACAAGATAGACCCAGTCTTGCCAGCGGTTCTGGCTCCAAGTGAGAAAGGGGTCGTTGGCCATGCGTGCCTGGGTAGCGGCCATGTAGGCAACTACGGCAGCTCCACAGCGGCGGCCGATGGTGGAGTTGGTGCCCGTCACCCAGGCGTACTGCAAGAGACCACTAATGACATTCCAGCCACTCCAATATATATTGCCCTTGCCGGAGATGCTCTGAGTCGAAACATGAGAGAAGAGACAGGCGTATGACTCAAGGACGAATCACCAGCGTCAGATGGCAAGCGCCAGAGAATATGGTTGAGCAACAAGCAATGCAATGTTCTACGTACATCGTCGTCGTGGGGACCAAGCCAGCCATCTGCTGACTGATTGTCGAGGATGTGGTAGATCCATTGGTTGACTTGTTGACTCACATTGACGGCCAGGGGGCTGCCCGAGGCGTTCAGCTGAGCAACGAGACTCACCATGCCATTGAGCCAATAGGGGCCTAGGGAACCCCCATTGCATCACCAAGACGCCATGAAAATCCATGGAGGACGAGGGGCGCATTGGGGTCTGCTGCAACATGGTGTTTTGTATCGTGTTGTTTTCCGCTGAACGTGCAGCTTTTGTGCAGCTTGGGTAGTTTTGTGTCACAGGAGGAGGTGGGGGAGCGAGAGAAGAGGAGTGTTTTGCCTGATATGATAAGATGCCATGCAGATCGTACCGCGCTCGTGACCAGCACCGGCGTTATCGGCAGACCCGCCAATCCAGACCTGAGCGAGCACACGAGTGGCGTGTGACATGATGAACCCACAGCACAAAGGATTCCCAAGCCGGGTGTAGGGCAGGCAGCTTCAGGGGTGCTACATACGGAAGACTC